TTATCGTACGTCATCTTGAGATCTAGAATTCGCTTTCTCACAAACTCAGATTATATTTATATCCTGAGATTGTGATTTCTAATTCAAGATTTAATCGCGTTCGCTGCGATCAGTGCCAAGCCGATAAACATCACAGCACTACACTCCTGTAGATAACTCACTTTGAAGTGGAGGCCGGCGAGGACACCACAGTCTGGTATATTCTTCTGTGAATCCTTCATGCAAGTCATAGAAAGTCCTTTATCAATCTTTATCGTATATTTATACCCTGAAACACGTGATAGCAAGATTGAATTGGTTTAGTTAGTATTAGCATATCTAAAGTAGTACGGAATAAACATCTACATTATATGTACTTACTCGTTTAAAAGAAGAGATATCTCGAGATCCTCATTAAGATGTGTGGAAGGTACAGACACCACAGATAGTTACTAGTGTGTAGTGTACCAGTAATCAAGTTGATCGTGTTCATTGGGTTAGTATTATGTTGAGTTAGGTTAGTATTATGTTATGTTACGTTGGTATTATGTTAGTAGTAGGTAGTGGCCGTATGACAGCACAGCACTACACTATATTATGCTACCACTAGATTATACTATACTACACCAACTTAACTCAACTTAGCACCATCACAACCTAACATAAACTTAACTCAACTTAATATAATACTAATTCAATAGCCTAATTTATTGATAAGATAGAGTGATAAGATAGAGTGGTAAGAAATCATCCTAACCCAAACCCAACTCAATCCAATTATTCCCGGCAGAAGTACTCAGTGGCATCTTTAAGCTCGCCCATACCCTTCTTCTTACGTAAGTCACGGACAATCGTGAACATCGGTGAGTCTTCCTTATCCAGGGACCCAGGAACAATAGCGTAATGATCAAGTACTAAGTTCACACTTGCGCCACCAGCCGTCGTCTCCATCAACTCCGTGTTCAGTTTGAACGATCGCTGCACTGGAATGTAAGCTTTCAAGCACGATCGGTGTCCATTATAGATCGCATCTACTATCTCACCACGTCGTGACTTAACTACCTGCATAGCCGCATCAATCATCGATTCCTGTAAGGATATCTCAGCTAAAAAGATAGGTTCATAAAGAATAGGCGTAGCAGCTAAGACTAAACCAGTAGCCAAACGACTCATCGTTGGAATAATCTGACCCGCCCCTCGATGAATAGCATCAGCGTGCAAAGTCAAGTCCATTAAGTCTAAACGTAAACCATGCACCGGCTCACCAATTACTGGTCCTTCCTTAACGGCACAGTCCAATCCCATCTTCAAGAACTCCTTGACTTCGTTCAAGTTCTGCACTCCCTTCGTTGAGTCCACAATCACATTCGGGCCACAATCATCCGGGGCATAACATAAGATCCGCTTAATCCATTCATCTACCTCATCAAACCGTTTCTTAAACAGTTCCACCCGGACTTTTGGATCGGTTGAGATAAGATCTCCCTCATTAATGGCCTTAGTTATCTCTTCACCCAATGGCTCTACAATCATATAAACCTTATTATGCTTATTAGCACTCTTAGACATAACCGTAGTCGACATACTGCTAGAAATACTCTCAAAGTAAGAAACTTGCGGTTCACCTCTAATAATCGGGACCTTAGCATGCTCATTCTCTAAATCATTCAAGCAAATCTCAACGTGCATTTCTCCTGCACCAGCCACAACAATCTCTCCACTCTTCATGTACTGAACTTGGCACAAACTATCTACTTGTGATAGTTTAGTCAGTCCTTCCTTCAACTTAGGTAGATCAGCCGTATTCTTAGGAAGAATAGAGTACCTAACAACCGGGGAGACACTAAATTTCATACTCTTGATATTATGAGCACCTTTCATACTGCAAATAGTAGCTGTCTTCTGAATTTCCGAATCAACTCCTAAAATACCAACAATATTACCAGCTGGACACTGTTTAATCTCCGGAGCCGTCCTTCCCATCATTAAAAAGACCCGAGAAACAACTTTAGGCTTCAATTCCTTACCAACCCCTGGAACATAATCAGGACTCTGGACGTAAACCTGGCAACCGGCCTTAAGTACACCGGAGAAGACTCGACCAAAAGCAATATACCGACCCGTTCCCTGGGGAATCATTTTAGAAACGTACATCATAACTGGAGCATCTTCGGACATATCAGTGTTTTTGATAGCCGTACAGAACTGATCATCAGCCGGACCTTCATAAAGAGATTCAGCCCGATACTTCTGACTTTCCGAAGGTGAAGGTAAGTTAATGATAATCTGTTCTAAAAGAGTATCAGCGGCTGGTAACCACCGCCGCATAACTCCTTTAAAGAGTTCTTTCGGATTAGTCTCTTCTAAGACCGACTTAGGCAACTCTTTCTTATACTTAGCCATTAACTCGACTAAACCTTTCTTATCTCCTTGCATGCACAGATCACGCACTCGATAGAGAGGATTAAGCACAAAGACAACAAAAGCTAAGTTTTCCGGATTTCCACTCTTACTAAACTTACCAGTACCATCAAATGGATCAGTCTTAGAATAAAAACACTTGTGATTCCAAAGTAAAGCTTGGAACTTCTTCATAACAGCTAGTTTCTCAACTGGATCAGTCTTTTCTGAGATCTTAAACGTATCAGCATAAAACTCAACAAATTGTCTTAAAGTAAAACCCCAACCTTGTAAACCCGAACAGAAAGATACTTCTAAATTAGCTGGATCTAATGCCTCAACAGTTCCACTCTCTTTACCTCCTTCTTCTTCCACATGGAATTTAGAAAGAGTAGCATTGAAATTTTCAATAGTCTTACGTAAAGAAGAGGCTAATTCAGTCGGGGCTTGTTGTAGTTCTAGTAAAGATCGGTCTAACTTATTAAGACAAAGGACTGGCTTGATCTTTTCAATTACAGCTTGTCTTAAGACAGTTTCAGTTTGCACACAAATACCTTCAATACAGTCTACTACTACTAAGGCTCCATCAGTAACTCTAAGGGCAGCTGTTACTTCAGAACTGAAATCAACGTGTCCTGGTGAGTCAATTAGGTTGATTAAGAAATGGTTCTCGGAAGTTTTTTCTTTCATGAAGTGTTGGTAACTCTCTTCCTTCAATTTGAACTGCATAGAGATAGCAGTAGATTTGATAGTAATACCTCTTTCTTGTTCATCGGCTCTAGTATCGGTAAAACGAGATCCAGACTTTTCAGCTGAAAGACTTCCAGCTTTAACGACTAAAGTATCAGTTAAAGTACTTTTACCATGGTCTACGTGGGCTATCACGGACATATTCCTAATGTTTTCGGTCTTATCCATTAACCGGATAACATTTTCTAATCCAATTAGCTTTGACATTCAGGGGGTACTTTTAAAAAAACTAAAAAATAGATGCACATTGAGTTGGTGTGGGCTGGGTTTAGTATGGGTTAGGTGGGTTTATGTTGGGGTGGAGTTAAGTATTGGGTTGATGTGGGTTTAGTATTTGGTTGGGTTAGTATTTGGTTGAGTTAAGTAGTTGGTTAAATATTGGGTTACGTATTACATTACAATAAACAGTAGATGCTAAACTAAACTAAACGACTATTACATTATACTATATTATACTATGTTATTACATTATTATACTAAATCATTACATAATACTATGCTAAGTTAAGCTATTTATAGTTGGGGGAATGGATTGTTTCCTTTTTGGGATTTGACAGTTAATATAATAAAGTTCACAACATATATATACCACTTGCCTTATTTAGTAGTAATGTAATAAAGTTCGCAATACTCATATAAACCCTTCCCAAATAGGAAGGACTTGCTAATATAATAAGGTTCACCCGAGTTAGTCTATGGTTTGGTTTGGTTTGGCTTGGTAGTGCGTTGGTTTGGTAGTGGGTTAGTTAACGTTAGTGTAGTACGTCGAAAAAGGAGCATTGCCAAAAGTTAACCTATTGGATTGGTATTGGATTGGTATTGAGTTGGTATTGGATTGGTGTTGGGGATTTCGAGGCGGGTGGGATAGAAAGTAATAAAGATGCCTTATTTGGGACATTATACATAGAAATACTAGATTCACTCAAGTCGTCCATTAAACTAAAGGAAAGATGTCGTCTTTGCTCTCTTTCTTCCTTTGGGTTGGTATTGGGTTAGTATGATAGTGAAAAGATGCCTTTGTCAGTCATAAACTATCGTGATTTATTCAAAACGCTCTCTATTTAAGCTTTGTAAAGTGTTCGTTAAGATTCAACATAAACAATATGATACGCCATTTTGAGAATCAATAAGTCTTTCATGTGAATACTGTATGACCTATGGACATACAACACAGATCACTGCTTAGCAATAATTCCTCCATATCAGTGTCTAACAATGAATCACCTTGACTTGTGTTTAGCAACGAATCACCTTGACACCACTCCCGAGTAGATACACCAGATGGTCTAGTAAGCTTATCTTGTAAATACTGAGTTATGGCTTTAATGACATCGATAGTCACTGATAGTTTAACTATTTAGAGAATAACATAAATATGAAATATATAAATTCTGTTCAGAATTTGATTTTGGTTAGCATTGAATTAGTTTTATTATTTCTATTTTGGCTTTCTACATTAAGTTGGGTTAGTATATTATAGTCTTATGTTAAAGTAACAACACCTAACTCAAACTTAACCCCTACATAAACCTACACTTAACCCAAACCTACCATATACTACCATATACCAACCAAACCTCACATAAACACAACCTATCAGATACTGCCATATATCAACATAACATAAACCTATCAGATACTACCACAACACAACCCAACCCAACACAACACAACCCAACCCAACTCAAACTCAAACTCAACCCAACCCAAACTCAACTCAAACGTAACTTAACTCAAACTTAACTAACTCAATAAATAGCTAGGTACTGTTTATTTCTTAGAGGGTAACAGACTAGATAAGAACTCTAGTTGCTGATTGGCAGCAATGCAACTCTCTAAATGGGCAAGAATAATCTTCTTAGAGTTCTTTTGTTTGGCCTCTTCTTCTAGTAGGTGCAGTAAGTCTATTAAGAAAAGCTCAATGGCATGACTGATTACAATGGGCGCTGAACTACTTACTTTACCTATCTCCTCATCAAATTGCATAATCTTCTTTATACGAGCAATAGGAAACCTACATTTAGTCTTACGTTTAGGATCTTTACTCTCTAAACTACCTTTACTAGACTCAACTAAGTCGGCCATTCTTCTTTCTTAAAAATTTGCCTGCCATGCATACGGGCCAGAACGGTAGTTCCTTCTCTAGTGATGAAGATTTAGACCAAATTTCACTAGTTGACTCAAAAGACTCAAAAGAGGATTTAGGAGACGAAGATGACCTAGAAGGGTCAGGAGAAGATCTTTTTGGTGATAGTTATGCCAAGGATTATGCTAGTAATACTCGTTTGGATAGATATGAGACGGAAGAGGAAGAAGAGTCCGAGGGACCATTAAGACCTTTAACTGCCCAGGAAATGGCAGCTGCTGAGCAAGATATAGCCCAAATGTTTCATACGCATGAAGGACATAGTAATTGGGGTAGTAATTGGGGTAGTAATATGGGATTAGCTAGTGTAGGCCATTCAGAAGACTTAGAAGAAGACTCAAGTCATTCTTCTCTTAATTCCTTTGAGTACTCGCCCTTAGATAGTTTTGAACTACTGCAGGCCCATATTCATGCCTTAGAGATTCAGGAAAGGGTGAAGAAGGAGATGGAGCAGTTCTTGAAGACCTTTGGGGATAAGAAGTACTTAGACTTGATTAACCAAATGGCATCTTTAAACATGCAGTCTTTATACGTTGATTATTTTGATCTTGAGTCTTACTCTGGGGTTTTAGCCCAGGCGGCTTTGGCTATTCCGACTAAGATTTTGCCTTTACTCAACCAGGCTTTACATACGGTAGTACGTGGTCTTTTTCCGCGTTATTCCCAGATTAAGCATGTTTTACTTTGTCGCTTAACTAATATTCCGGCTTATGACCAGATTAGGGATTTACGTAATGTTCATTTGAACTCATTAGTTAAAGTGGCTGGGATTATTACTAAACGGAGTAGAGTCTTTCCTATGCTTTCTTTAGTCAAGTATACCTGCCAGAAATGTCGGGCTTTATTAGGGCCATTTTTAGTGGAGAATGAGGCGGTTAAGCCTAATAGGTGCTTGGAGTGCCAGAGTTTAGGACCTTTTCAAGTTAATACGGCCGAAACGATTTATAAGGACTTTCAAAAACTATCTATTCAAGAGATACCCGGGACTATTCCGGCCGGTCGTTTGCCGCGTTCAAAAGACTTGATCTTACAGTACGACTTGATCGATCAGGTTAAGCCTGGGGATGAGGTAGAAGTAATTGGTATTTATAAGAACAACTTTACTAATGGTGGTACTTCTAGTGCTCCTTTGAAAGCTTCTGTTGGTAATTTGTTGTTCTTTACTTCGATTGAGGTCTTATCTCTGCAGAAAAGAGGTGATGACTTCTCTCTCCTAGCTATTACGGCGGAAGATGAACGGGAAATTCAGCAATTAGCCAAACACCCGGATGTTTTTAATATGATTGTAGCTAGTATTGCCCCTTCTATTCATGGCTTAGTTGAAGCTAAAAGAGCGATAGCCTTATCTATTTTTGGCGGTGTATCTAAACAAAATCCCGGGCATAAGACGCGTGGAGATATAAATATGTTGCTTTTAGGAGATCCGGGAATGGCTAAATCACAATTATTGAAGTATGTGGAGAAGATAGCCCATCGGGCTGTTTTTGCCACGGGTCAAGGTGCTTCAGCGGTTGGTTTAACAGCGATGGTACGTAAAGATCCGGCTTCGGGTGAATGGACCTTAGAAGGTGGGGCTTTAGTATTAGCTGATAAGGGAGTTTGCTTGATCGATGAGTTTGATAAGATGAAAGATACGGATAGAGTAAGTATTCATGAGGCTATGGAGCAGCAAAGTATTAGTATTTCTAAGGCCGGGATAGTAACTAGCTTGCAAGCCCGTTGTGCAGTTATTGCTGCGGCTAATCCAGTGCGGGGTAAGTACAATCCAGCCTATACTTTTGCCCAGAATGTTAATCTTTCCGATCCGATTATCTCTAGATTTGATATTATTTGTCTTTTAAAAGATGAAGCATCTCCTTCTTATGATAGGGAATTAGCTTCTTTTATCATTTCTAGTCATAATCACAATCAAAATTCTCACTTATCTCAAAATCAAAATCAAAAAACCACTTCAATCATATCTCAAGATTTATTGCGTAAGTACGTGGCTTATGCCCGTGAAAGAGTTCATCCTCAATCTTCACCTTTAGATGCCGAACGAATTGCTTCTCTTTATGCTACACTACGTAAAGAGAGCAATGTACCTGGGAGTGTGCCCATTACAGTTAGACATATTGAATCAATTGTCAGAATTTCTGAAGCAGCAGCACGTATCCATTTAAGAGACTATGTAACTAAGTCTGATATTGATCTAGCTATTAGAGTAGCCCTAGATAGTTTTTGTGGCACACAGAAGACAGCCGTACGTCGGGCTCTTCTTAAAAAGCTAGCTAAGTACTTACCCGAAGCCCCGGATGATTTCCAGTTTATCAAATCTTTACTAGTACGTCTCTTAGATAAGGCCCAAGAAAACAATCAAAATTCAGTCCTATCTCAAAATCAAAATCAAAACACCAACCCAAATCAAAGCATTTCTCTCCAGACTTTCAAATCACGAGCCAAATCCCTAGGACTTAAGTACAAAACCTTCTTATCCTCACCAGAATTCACTCAGTTCTTCCAGCTCTCTAAATGCGGCCAATTCATCTCACAACTACCACCACCAGCACAGTAGTACATATTGAGTTAGTATTTGGGTAGTATTTGGTTAGTATTTGGGTAGTATTTCATATAAGTATATTTTGATTATCTTATCTCATCATATCTTATCTCATCCCATCCCATCTAATAACATATGAGTATATTTTGATTATCTTATCTAATACCTATCTTATCTCATTTCATCATCTCACCTCACCCAATAACATATGAGTATATCCCGCCTTAAATAAACTGTTTAACTCAACTTACTACTAACTAACTTACTACTAACTTACTACATAACTAACTCAACACCAACACCAACACCAACTCAATCTAAACTAGTCTTTATTTTATTTTTAATTTGCTCCCCTGCAATGGCAAGAAAGAGAATCTTCAACGGAATCTTAGAGACCCGTAAGCAATTAGAGGTGAGTTGCAAAGAAGTTATTAAAGATGATATCTTTGATATGGAAGAGTGTGCTAACTTTATTGAAACTAAGCAAAAACTTACTAGACATTCACCAGATACATTACCAGGTGGACCTCTTAATGTCTCTGTTAATCAAGCAGAAGCTAAGATAGTACTAGATCTTGGTGTAATTGTCCGTCGAGTTTACATTAAGCAACTAGTTCTTCACTACTTGCAGAAGAAAGCCTTAAGAGACTGGATTCATGTAAAAGTAGATGAAAAAGGACAATTGGGTCTTCACTACTATCAAACTGAATAAAGGGTTTAGTATAATATTTAGTATCGTATTGGGGTGAGTTGGTGTTGGTATTGGTGTTGGTTGGGGTGATATGGGGGTTGGGGTGATATTGGGTTGAGTTGGTTAAATTATGAAATTACCGGATTAGGAAAAATGACGAGAATATATTGCCATATTAGGAAAATATGATAGTAGAAAAAGATAAGCTGATAATAAAGATGGGGTAGTAGAAAGGTGTCTTATTTGGGGTAGTTGACTACGGGTGGGTGTATTTAGTCTATTTTATATTTACAAATATGAAACACTCAAATGGAATGTACATTGTCTTGGTTAATACTATTTTACTACTGGTAGTTGAATTGGTGGCTCATTATAAAAGTAATGCAGTTAGTATTCTTGGGGAGGCATTCCATATGATGGGTGATTTGATGGCGGTTTTTTTGAATGTTAGTTCTAATTGGATATCAAGAAGATATCGTGGGGGTAAACAATGTACTTTTGGTTTGGAAAGGTTGGAAGTACTTAGTGCGGCTTTGAGTTTAGTCTTTCTTTGGGTGCCTTGTGGATCATTGGTTTACATCTCTTTTAAACGACTTTGGAATCCGGAAGAGATTAACCGGGAAATCTTGTTGAGTACGGCTGGATTTTCTTGTTTGGTTAATCTAGTGAACTTTGGGGTATCTTTTTGGATGAACCGTAAGTCTAATGATATGAATGTGACTTCTTTATACCTTCATGCTTTGACTGATTTAATTCAGTCGGTAGGTATGTGCTTGTCGGCTTTGGCCCTTTATATTAATAAGTCTTGGCTGGTGGTTGATTTGATTTGTTCGATTGTTGGGGCTGCTCTTTGTTTTGTTGGTTCGATTAGACTGGTTAGGGAGATAGTTAGAGTTTTATTGGAAGTTTCACCGGTTGAGGTAGATCGAGTGACTGAGGTTATTTTAGGCGTGCCGGCAGTGGCTTCGGTTGAAGATCTTAAGATTTGGTCACTAAATAGTCGGTCTAAACTACTGATGAGCAAAATAACCCTATTTAAAGGGGAAAGAAATGATGAGACTTTATTGGCTTGTAAAGAAGCACTTAAAAGAGCTTATGGCTTTGCCTATACTAATATAGAAATTATCCCAGGCTAAATTTTCATGCAGTTACCGCAGAAGCGTAGTCATCGTCAACGCGCTCATTGTAATCCATTTTCTGACCATGATTTAGATTATCCTTTATCGCCTGAACTGGTTGATAAAAGACCGGATATCTTAGATGTGGGTTGTGGTTATGGTGGGATGCTTTTTTGCTTATCAGAATTATTTCCTAATAAGGAAATTTTAGGAATGGAGATTAGAAAGAAACTAGTTGATTACGTTAATTTAAAAATACAATATTTACAATCTGAAAAGGGGTTAGCCCATAACGTATCAGCGGTTCGTACTAATACTATGAAATTCCTGCCCAATTACGTAGCTAAAGCTTCCCTGGCGAAGATGCTTATTCTCTTCCCGGATCCCCATTTCAAGAAGAAGAAGCATAAGGCCCGGATTGTCTCTACAGTTATGTTGGATGTTTATAGTTATGTTTTAGTCCCTGAAGGCCGGCTTTACTTAGCTACCGATGTTGAGGAGTTGTTCCTGAGTATGTGTGCGTGTGTGGAAGGGCATCCTTTATTCCGGCGCTTGTCTGTAGAGGAGGCGGAACAGGACGAATTGTGGCCGCATTTGGTGGCTCAAACCGAAGAGTCAAAGAAGGCTGACATGAAGCATTCTCAGAAGTATCGTGCCATCTTCCAAAACATATCATAACTCAACCACCAATGACTATCTTAATCAAAACATACGATATAAAAGGTAGACCTAGAGAATAAACATGGACATTTTTGGAGTGGACTTTATGACTATCATGTATGTGGTCGTCTTTTTGGTTATTGTTATGGGAGTTATCTGTATGGTCATGTCCTTCTGTGGGGGAGGTACGGCTCGGGAACAAGATGAACGGAATAATCGTAGTACGGTAGTGTGTAACAACAACAATAACAATAACAATGCTAGTATGCCGGCACCTAGTGTAATTGTGGTTAACACCCCGACGGGTGAAAAAGAACGTCCCCCACGGAGTTTCAGTAGTGATGATTCAAATCGGAGAAGAGGAGATATAAGTAAATAGCAGAGTGTCTAAATAAAAAATGATTAGTGTGCCAATTGAGTGGATCTTTGAGTTGGTTTTGGGCTTGGGATTAGTCTTTGGCTTGATAAATCTTGGTCGGATGGCTTGGTATCGTGAATGGCATATGCTAAGTTTTTGGAAATTGATAGTGTATTTGGTGCAAAGCGTGGTGCAATGGGTGGTTTGGGAGAATTTGCGGTGGTTTAAGAAAGAGGCTGAGATGTCTGGAAAGTTTGGAGCGGATTTGAGTCCGCGGTGGTGGCGATTGGTGGGTGGGGTGGGTATGTTTGTGTTATTACGTCGCTTTTGGCGGGGATTGGAGACGGGCAAGATAAGGAAGAGTTGGCAGTTGTTTGGCTTGGTTAAAGATACGATTTCAAAATTAATTATGATTATGATTATGCAATTGATTGAGGATGGGGTTTTGCCTTTTTATAAGACCTTTGTTGCGCTGGTGTTTTACTATCTTACCGCGGTAATTGCTACATTTGTGGTCTTATCAAAGGAAGATCTGGGTTATAAAGGAGGAAGGCTACCAATGGTTGAAAGTGAGACAAAGAAAAGAATAGTGCAAGTTATAGATAGACTAAACTTAGGACCTTTGGACCTCTTTGTTTTGCGGCCGAATTATCGTCGTGACCTCTTTGGCATCTATCTATACGAAGCCACTGATGATAATGCCATAAGCACGAGTGTTGCCATTTCCAACGGTAGGACCACCAATATTGCCAGCCCAGATAGTACTACTAATAGATTAGATAGTAGAATTACAATAGATAACACACATGCGGCCGCAGCCAACACGACTCCAACCAACCCAGCCCCAACCAACACTACTAACACCAACACAACTCCAACTAACAACAATTCCAAGGAAGCTCGGAATGAAGTTCATATTGTTGTGCAGGGCTTGACTATACTGATGATTTACGAAATAGAAAGTCCGGGTCTGTGGCATAATGCTGATTTTCTTTGTGACTTGGCTGTTCACCATTTGATTGAATGGAATCGTGGGTACTACTATATGCTAGGAGTAGGTGAGTCCTACTGGACCTTTCTGACGAAGTTTTGTTATTTGGGCTGTAACTTCTTTGGGGAGCTTAAGAATGTGCCTCCTTGCTACCGGGTGATGGCAGCTATTCTAGTGGCAGATGCAGTGGCTAAGTTAGGTCGGATTTTAATGGCGTATGGTAGTGTTATCTTTGAAAAGAAGATTATTAGAGAAGGCGCGAGGCATTTTAGCTTAGAGGCTTTTAATCTCCTCTTTCGTCGTTCTTCAGCTGACTACACTATTCGCCGGATCATAACCACTCCTGGTCTTGATGCTTTCTATACCTATACCGACCAAGAACGCCTTCAGGATTTGCAAGCCGCCCAAAATCAGCCACCCTCGCCGCCCCTCTCCCCCGTAGTATCCTCGACCAATTTAACTCCTCCCAATTACTCAACTCTAATCCATCCTACCCCACCACACCATCACAACCCCTAAGTATACTTCCACTATATCATCACACCATCCAAATACCAACACATTCCTAACACAATTCAAATAATAACTTAAGATAACGCAATAAATGTAAAATCAAGTAGTCAAATTGCCGTGATTGAACTCGGTCTGAGTTGTCGGATTTTTATGTTTTGGACGTGTGCGGGAGTGCTCTTATGGACAATTATAGTCTATTTAGGAATAGTAGGACTGCATGTCCAGGCCATTGGGCAGTGCACTACTATGATATGCCGTGGGGAGATAGATGAAAAGAAAGGCTTGCGGCGGTGTGACCAACTAGTTTGGCATATCTTAATGAATACTTTGGACTTGTTGTTATTTGTGGGTATGCTGAGATACAATCTGGTGAGTCGAGTGGCGCATATCAGCCGGGAGCGCCTTGGCTGCTTGTTTATTTTAGGCTGGATGGGCTGTCAGTTGATTACTGTGCCCTTGGCTTTTCACAGCTATCTTTTTTGGATTTCGACTTGTTTTTTGATTGAGAATTGCTCGCGAGTGATCTGTCTGTCCTTATTGGGATTTTGTTTTGTGATTTATCTAGGCCAGTGTTTTAGGCTAAAACGGCCGAGGCAAAGATGTTTCATAATTAGTCTAATCTCATTAGGAACCGCTTTAGTTGTTCGTGAGTTTGTACTAAGTCGAGATCAAATATTCATTAGATCACTTTTTATGCTTGATCATCGTTTTAATGTCCGATCAACTGAGTTTATTTATGCTGGTATTATTGCAGCTCAATCCCAGCCAACTATTGAATTAGCCAACCTTCTTACTGACCGCCTATTCGTCTACTCTCCATCGACCCTTAAGACAGCTAGTCCCAAAAAGAACCAATAACTATCTTGACACGCATTGCCATCCCAACCGCCAATTATATCGCACTATCCACTGAACCAATCACAAGCCACAAAATCCTCTAATTACACTAACTTATACCAACTAAGCCTTTGCTAACTCAACTTATACCAACTCAAACTATCTAATTGTACTAACTAAGCCCAGCCAATAAACAATCAGTTATTTCTCCTAAATTTCCTTTTTGGGAAATTCGCTATCCAGAAAACTCTGCGATTTTTGATGCGAATTTTAGATGGCAGTTTTACCCGATCCACAATATAGCTTTGGTGCTGGAGGGCTTAGCCCCAATCGATTACGGCCCTTTGAGTTTGCTGAGCTTATCGTACGTTCAATCTACGATACTAGTGCCAAAATAGGACCTCTACGAGCTATTGAACTAGCGTTTATTATTGTGCTGGTCGTTATTGCGGTTATGCGATTGGGAAAGATGATTCTTTACTCAAGAGTATACAACGAACTTTTCAAAGGTCTACGTGGTGATTATGGCTCAGCCTTTCTGGAAGCGCCCGAACGAGCCGAACAAAAGCGCCAGCAACAAGACGTTATTCTCAATGCCACTTATAAGTACGGCAAAATACACGGCCAAGATAAAGCCGTACGCAAAATGTCTCAAATACAGAGAGCTATTTCCCAAGAACAAGTTAATGATCAGTCTAAAATCAGTATCTCTGATGGTATCAAACAGTTGATTGAGGAAGATAACAGCAAAGTCTTGCGTAATATTCTGGGCATCTGGGCCGCCTTCCTCTTCTTTATCAGAAGTTATGGAATTATTGGCGCTGCCCTGGGTGAATTAGGCTCCCAGCCTGTCTGGGCATGCATCATCATTATTCTCCACGTAGTTGTTCATTGGCTCTTTTTCTTCGCTCTACTAATTATGCTCCTTGATACAGAAGGCACTATTATTGCTACTATTTTCAACACAATTGCCAATATCTGTACAGCCGCTGTCTTTTCCGTTTTTAATGCAGCTGTTAACAAGATAATCAAAGTAATCTTTAATATTGCTCCTGGCGTGATTTCCAAGAACTTCCTTTTCTCTATGCTTGGTATGCTAACTCACTTCTTGATCTTTAGTGCTGGAGCAGTTGGACAGCTCGTTACCGACCAAAAAAGCCCCAATGCTGCTTTTGAGTGGTACCTTTGGAACTTTGTTTATTTTATGCTCTTTAATGCTATCTACATTATTGTTATGGAGTTAGATATAGGCCTTTTAATGCGCGCCCTAACGATCAAACAAGACTATATGGACTCTAAATTCCGCCGCTTCCTAGGTGTCTACTGGTTTGTGTTTATTCGTATATTTATATATGCCGCTGTCGTTATCGGCGCCTATTTCATTCTAGCCCAACCCTGTGCTCCCGTATATAAATAATTCAATACTAGTCCAATTTGCAGTCTATCTCTAATTTAACATAATTATATTGATTGTATACTAACCCTATACTAGCAAAAATCTTATCTCTAATTTAACACTATCTTATCTAACATACCTTACTGGGATGACGAAGCTAGACTCATTCGGCCAGAGTGGTTGTATAAATGGGCTATATCGGTGTAAGTCACTCGTTTGGCTGTTTTTTGGGGCAAAGTCAACTTATGACCAATGAAAATAACTTTGATTGCCGTATCTACTAAGCAGTAGAGATACCCAAATGTCAATCTTAAAACCGAAATAAAAATAGATATCTCGGATGGCGTCTTCCCTTGTGTTCGAAAGAAAAAGGCCGTGACTGACATCGGTAGAATAATGGCAAATATCATAATAAACAGCTTACATATCTCAAAGTAAAAGAAATGCATCCGATTGTTTCTAATCCATTTCTGGCGGTTTTCAATACTAGCATAAGCAAAGGCCCCTTTCATACGAAAGATCTGCACTGGAATGCCCCAACCCATCCCTACCTTAATTATACTCATCAGTCCGTACAACAACCATTGCCTTGAGGCTTTCATTTGCTTAAAGTTAGAAGATAAGAAGGCACAAACCAGCACAGTTACTACCAGTAAGCAAATACTCCCTACCAACTCCGCTCGACCCCGTCGTAAAGGGGCAGCCGGTAAGCTAAAGGCAAAATGAAAGACAAACAAAGCCGTTACAATTCTTAGTATTGCCGCACCACCAATACATACCATCCGATGCACTATCTCCTCTCCTTCCGAAATCACAATAGACTGTTTCCCAAGCCGATAAAGATAAAGTAATAACAAGTAAAGACCGGCCATTCCCCCAGGCATAGCCACCAGAACACTCCTACTTAGCAACAAGTACTTAATACTTAGTTTAGCCAGCTTAACGTTATGAATAAACATCCCAGCCAAGATATGGGCCCGGCGCCGACAGAAAGGCGGCATTAAAGAGATTAGCACAGCCGCAAAAACACCAGAAATCGAACCATACATCATTTGACCAATATAAGCCGAATCTTCAATCACTTCCCAAACCCCAACACAACCAACCACCACCAGAATAGGCAAAGTCACTACACTTACACTATAAGCAATCGTCTTAGCAATGTACTTAGAAGAAAAGCTATGTAAGATCATCAGAGAAGCAAACAAAAAGACATTCCCACACACAACCATCTTTAAACAGGCCCACCAGCAATACTGCACACAAAAAACAGAATCTGGAATATAGATAGGCACTTCTACTATCACATATCCTAAAAAGAAGAAATAATAAGCCACCATATAGATCGGAATCGACCCAATAAAAAGCCAAAAGAAGATGTTAGTGGCCACTCGGGTCGGTCGAGCATAAGCTTCAAGTTGAGTAAGTCGCATTATATTTTAAATTTTATTCACCTTTTGCCACTTGTTTCGTCATTAGTTGTTGATTTCCTTTTTGGGTAATTAACAAAGAGATCTAAAACTGAAGGTAAAGACTTTTGTTTCATAGGGAAAACTTCATAAGAAATAACACTTTCTTCCTCTGCCTCGTACTGCTCTAGCATGTACTTAAATTCATCAACCGGCTTCTTAAGATTGAGTTTACGTGAGGCATTGATAGGTAGTTTAGCTGAGGAGAATTCAATGCCAATAAAAACAACACAGAAAGAATAGCTTTTGTCCTTACAGCCCATTTCTCTAAGTAAGAAGTTATCCTCGGGAGTAGAGTCTTCTAAGAGGTACTTTTTAGGCAGAACATAAGCAAAGGCAATGTTCTCCATAAACTCCAACTTATTAGCCAGCTGACGCAAGCGCGTCTCAGCATAACCTAAAAAGCGACTAAATTCCTTAGCATGATCACCAGCCATGGCCACCGTAAAGTAGTTCTTATGTCTAGTAAAGAAATCAGTCGGGGCACACAAACTATCCAAACCTTCTTCTATCCGCCTTCCATTCTTATCAATGCCACTGCCCGTACTATCTCCAGCCGTATCTCTACTATCTCCATCTTTATCTTTACTATCTCCAACCGTATCTTTACTATCTCCAACCGTATCTTTACTATCTCCAGCCGTATCTCTACTATCTCCATCTTTATCTCTATTATCTCCAACCGTATCTTTACTATCACTATCTCCACTGCTAATCATATGCTTATTAGGGCCAGTACCACCTGCACTACTACTAACTGCACTACTACTAACTGCACTACTATTAACCTCATCTAAATTACTATCATTTAGACTGTCGGCCACCATCTTCTCATAGATATTGGCGGCTCGGGCAAACTCCTTCTTGGTTACATTAAGCGTGCTAAGTGTGATATTGTGAGTGGCACAGATGGGCGGATAAACAGGCGTGATAATCGGCATCTTGTCATTGCGCTGGGCAATATTGGTCTTAGGATTCCACATCTTCAAGTTATAGTTACAATCAACTACTTCCTTGATAATCACGGGCTGCGGCCAAGGCCACTGACTAAACGTACTGAAGAACTTTCCAATAATAGCAAAAGGCCCCAAATCGGGGTACATCTGACATACTTTTGCCACGCACAAGGCATAAGCTACTCCACCGGGGTACCCATAGGCATGACCATAGACTAAACGAGCCTGAGCCCAGTACTTGATAAACCGCAAGGCCCGATGGAAGGTCTTTACACTAGGAACTACCGCTAGAATTTCATCGGTCACTCGATTACCATTAATACTTAAAATACACTTCTCGTCCATGTGCTTCAACAAACGGTTATCCCGCAAATCAATGTCCGCTGGAATAGATAGTAAATCCAATCTAGCAAAGACTAAGTCAATGGGGATTGAGTGTATTTTAAACTTTATTAGCGGTACTAAGGTGTTCGTTACTTTGGAAAGACTAGTAATGTACTCCTTCTTTGCCAACTCGTCATAGAACACCGTAAAGAACTCATTACGGCTAATAAAGTTAGGGACAATGCATAATGTATCTATATCGGCACCAGATGAATGTACGCCTAATCGGTAACTTCCAAAAGTGAAGATTTTTGCGATGTTTTTCTTATCTACAGCTATGCCATTCTTATCAGCTATCTCACAGATAAACTTGTTGACTAGGTTATTAAGAATGCCAAGCACTCTTTCGCGCTTTATTGCTTCTTTCTCCTCTTCAAAGAAGCCTCTTTGCCGCAAGAACTCTTCAAGTTTGTTCTGACGGAAGATCTCCAGTGTTGTTGCTGCTTCTTTCATGCACAAAAAGAAATAATGGCTTAAATAGGCCAATGGTTCAACCAGAGACAAATTCGGGCTTTTGGGAAAGATTAGTGTTACAAAATGCCATGTACTATGTTGATGCTAATTATTATGGGATATTAAAGGGTGTTGGGGTAGTTGATGGCCGGGCGGTTGGGGATAAGCGTATGGAGTTGTTGCGGATAGGTGAGAAGTACCAGTGGGTGGTGGCTGAGATAGAAAGAATGGAGGCGGAAATTGTCGGGTTAAGAAAGAAAGCAAGAAAGAAGATTGTGCCTGCAACTATACCTTTGCAGTCGTTGGTCAAGAAAGTAGTGGGGAATAGACAGGCTATGTACTTGCCAGGAAGTGCTGAAGGTTTGGGTGGGTTGGGTGGAGAAGAGGAGGAGCTGGTTTATCGTCTGAACTTTAGTGAGCGAGAAATCGAGGTAGGTTTAGGTAATGGTTGTGGTGGTGGTAGTGGTGGTAGTGATGATAAGTTGGAAGTGCTTAGTACTAGTTGGATAAAGGACGTAGAGAGTAAGTTGGTTAAGGATTTATTGGGTTAGTAAATTACAATATCATAATGGTGTCACTTATTCTTTATTAACAGGTCTATGACTAATGCCTTGGGTTTGTGTTTGTCTTGTAGTATGTTGTGTTGTGTTGTTTTGTGGTGATTTAGATTGGTCTTTGCTTGTAATATTTATCTCAAAGCTTAACTTAACTTAGCTCAATCTATTTCAAAACTTAGTGCTATTCTAATAAGAAGATAGTTGTTCTATATAGGGTGAAATAAGCTAGTCTATTTGGGCTTTTTGGAACACACTTATTGCTTCGTCCCAATACCAACTCAATACTAATCCAATACCAACTCAACACCAACTCAATACTAACTCAAACCATACCAACCCAATCCTAACTCAATACTGATATTATCCTAGAAGAAATTCAGGTTAAACACATTATGCCAAATCAAGATCTACTTCATTCGATCCCGTCCACTCCTGGCATCCTAGTGCCGCCCAATACCAATGCTGGCTCTAATTTGACCTAACCTAATTCAAGGTGATATAAATGTGGCGATGGTTGGGTGTTAAGGGTAAGTGTTGATTGGTGGGCCGGCGCATATCTTGAAGGGCCACAGGGCAAAGAATGGGGAACATGACGTACAAGTGCATTCGACGGCTGGTGAACCTACTGGCCTTCTTTTTGCTAGTGGACGCCATTGTGGTCTTTGGATACGTCTTCTTTGGACCTCGAATCCTAGAGAAGTTTGAGACATGTGTGCTGCTGCGATCAAGCAATACGGTGAGCAGCTTACTGAATTACCTGGCGGTTACTTCTTTATTTATGGCTATGATGACCTCAACCTCCATTAATAGCAAAAGCAAGTTTACCATGAAAATTGCGATCTTGTGTGCTGTCTTGTACTTTATCTTTACAACCTGTTTACTGGTGTACTTTAACTTCTCTATTTCCCGCCGGTTTGTGACTGCGGCTTATGGCCGCCAACAAAGTGCGGGCGCAACTAGCCAACTAAGTGCTTTTATTAGTGCCACGGAGCCGGGTGAAGATGGTTTGGGCGTAGATGATACTACAATTCGAAGTCGCGTCGTTGAATTGGTGAAGCTAGAGATTTGGCGGATTAAGATGATGTTTATGGTTTCTAGTGCGATTGGCGTCTTTGTCGCACTCTTCATGGTCATTGCGGTTAACTGTAAAATCCGCAAGAGTAAGCCGGAGCCAGCTAAGGAATGTGAAGTCTATACACGGCCAGTTGGATTTTCAACTCCAGCTTCGCTATCTTTACGAGCCAAGAAGAACCAAGGGGAATTTTCCTAAATAAATGCAAACAAATAGATGGCTAGGTTTATTGCTCTTACTATCAGCTGTATCCGCGGCAAACAAAGCTATTTTGATCTGCTGTTCGTGGCAATACGAGAACTATCGCCACTTTGCTAATGTTTTGGCCCTACAGAGTTTACTGGAGCGAAATGGCTACTCACCCAAGGACATTGCCATCTTTATGAAGGAGGACATTCTAGCCAATCGCCGAAATCCTTCAGAGCAACTCTGGGTGGGCGATGAGTCTTTAGAACCTACCAAAGACTATACGCCTAAAAGACGGGACCAATCGTATTATGATATTTTGAACTTGATTGCTGGTGAGGATGAAGTACTTTTAGGCGCCGATGCTCAAACCAATTTGCTAATCTATATAACTGGCCATGGCGGTGATGGGTTTATCAAGTACTGCAACCGCAGCTACTTTTATCGTGAAGACATTACTAAGGCACTAATTCGCTTACAATCAGTCCGTCGTTTGGGCAAGGTCTTGTTTATTGCTGATACTTGCCAAGCTGATAGTTTGGTGGACGCTTCACAACTACCCGACAATGTTACTCTTATCAGTACAAGCTTATTAGGCGAGTCTTCCCATTCCGCCAACTTCAACCACCGCCTCAATATCTTTCCCATTGATCTCTTTGTTATGCAACTAACTAAAGCCATCAAAAGTCCAGCCATTCAAGCCTTAACTTTCAAAGACCTAACGAAGCACGAACTATCCTTTGGCTCTTTACTATCAACCGTTTCCATCCATGGCCCTGATGCATACCTCCAAGACTTCCTCTGGCAAACCCACCGACCTTCTTCTTTATTCCTCTAAATATCATCTAAGCACTTGTATTGTGTTAGACATTCGTGTAGGTGGAATGAAGTGGTCGGCATAGCTTGGCATGATGTATGGTGAAGCGGTCTGGTGTGAATAAAAGCAGTAATTAAGTGATACACGCAACCGATAAACTTAGCAAGGCCAAACTTTATTAGCTTTATTACGTAGCCACGCATTGACTAGCTAGGACGCCCGAATGAAGACGTACATAATAATAAAGATAGCAATAACAAACCCAATAGTAGTTATAATATCTAAAGTGCCAAAGGACCACCACGGCTTTGTTTCAAGAGCATTAACGCCCTTTTGAACCTGCGTAACATTCTTGCGCACACTATGCGACACCTTTTCTAAGACATCTTTGCTTATCTCAACCATATTGCCAAAGGATTCAGACTTCTCTTTAAGGGTTTTGCTCTTCTCCAGAATCTTCATGGCCAATTTCTCGGCCTCTTCTTTGCTTTGCTTTGTCTTGCGTTCCTTCAGTTCTTCTTTCTCTTGAATGACCTCTTTTGGGCGATGTTTTTTGATTCGCTTGATGCCAAATTGTTTGGCCTTATCTACCAATTCATTGTACTTTTCAATTATTTCATCAAGTTTATCACTCTTCTCTTCGCTTATATAAAGATATAATGCTGCGATCTTACTTTGAATTTCGTCTTTGTCTGACGTAGTTGGTGTATTTAGTAATTCTTGGGTTTCATTTAAGAGATGGAGGAGTTCTTGGTTCATTTAGAAAAAAATGGTACTCTGTCTTATCTCTAACTGAGAAAAGAGATAAGAAACCAGTTAGTTAGAGAGCTTATTTGAGAAGAAGGTGTTTATTTATACGGTTGAAAGATCTTCTGCCAATCAAATCTATCTGTCTTCCTTGTGTCTGTCATCTAGCCCGCTATCTAACTTGCTGTTTGGGCTAGTTATTTGGGCTGATGCGTGGTTTGGGCACTTCTTACTCACTACTGCTCTTTTGGGTAGAAGGAATCCTTGGTTTAGTTTGCTAAGTAATGCGATCTAGGATCTGAAGTTAGTCTTGCTTTTCCTTTGCTGGTGCACTCTGCGATGCTGAAGGATTTAAAGCCGACGGTTCCTCCGCCGCTTGTTGTGGGGCTTGTGCTGGCTTGTTCAGAAGAGTCAAGGTCGTCCCTACGGCTACTTTAGCTTCCTCTTCTGTTTTACCTGTTGTCTCCATATAATTTCGGATTAGTTCTTCTTGACTGGGTTGATTCGCTGATTCTTGTGAAGTTTGAACGGCTGTATCACTGCGACCCTCCGGCTTTGGCGCTTCTTGTGAACCACCAGCACCTTCATCTGAAGAAGGACCTACTGCTTTATCCTCTTTGCTACTTTGGGTTGGCTCGTTCTCATCAAATGCCCCAACAAACCCAGCCTGTGTGTGTTGGGTGTCTGCTAGTTCCTTTCTGGCCTCTCTTTCCTTCCTTTTCTTGTCTGCCTTCTTTTTGGCGGATCCGCTAGGGCCAAGTGCCCCAACAAACCCAGCCTGTGTGCGTATTGTTTTCTGTAGATCCTGCTGGGCAGCACGCTTGTCCTCTTTGCTCATACCTTTGACCTCAGCTTGTTTCTCACCTTGACCTACGGGCTTAATCTCACCTGAGGCCTCGGTTTGGGTCTCACTTTGGCCTACGGGTTTAATCTCACCTTCTTTCTCAGCTTGGCTTTCGGTCTTAGCCTCACCTTCTTTCTCACCTGGGGCCTCGGTTTGGGTCTCACTTTGGCCTACGGGCTTAGCCTCACCTTGACCTACGGGCTTAATCTCACCTGAGGCCTCGGTTTGGGTCTCACTTTGGCCTACGGGCTTAGCCTCACCTTGACCTACGGGCTTAATCTCACCTGAGGCCTCGGTTTGGGTCTCACTTTGGCCTACGGGCTTAGCCTCACCTTGGCCTACGGGTTTAATCTCACCTGAGGCCTCGGTTTGGGTCTCACTTTGGCCTACGGGCTTAGCCTCACCTTGACTTACGGGTTTAATCTCACCTGAGGCCTCGGTTTTAGCCTCACCTTCTTTCTCACCTGGGGTCTCGGTTTTAGCCTCACCTTCTTTCTCACCTGGGGTCTCGGTTTTAGCCTCACCTTCTTCCTCACCTTTCTTTGGCTCGGCTGGTGAGGAACTACCCATAAAGTAGCTAGATCCTGGAATATAGGACAGGAGTGATTTGAAAGCCGTGGTTACACGACTATCTCCTTCGGTAGTTGCCTCCATGTGGTCGGGAGTTTGTTGTGGTTTGATCTTGAATTGCAGCTTATCCACATTCTTGGATACGGCCTCTTTAGTTTCATCAAGTTTCTTGGCAATGTCAGCTTTGATCTCTTCGATGCTGCTACTGTTGGTTATCACAGCATCCGGGCCACCTGATTTACTTGATGCGTCGGCTGAGCTGCCTGATGTAGTAGTTGGGTTTTCCGCCTTGACGGCCCGTTGAACATCTTCTTCCATAGAAAAACCCTCTCTACCAGCTGCTCCCCCTCCGGCTGTCACGTCTTCTTTAATTGCTGGAGCCACAGTCTCGGGTGCGCTGCCTGGGGCAGTTTCGGCTGGGCCTTCTGCTACAATGGTAGTAAATAAACCGCTGAATAAAACAGCAGACCCGGTGATTATAATCTTAGACTTTCTTGATCCCTTCATAATGCTTTGCTAGCACTGCTATTTATAGCTTTAATCTGATCATAGGTCCATTCTGGATAACGAATCGTGTGTCTAATTGTTTGGCCTCTCCTTATCAATCATTGATCCACTTCGTTATCAACTGTTTGTTAGTTTAGATGATTTTCTATTGATCAATTAAGTCTATCTCTGTCGGCGCTAAATCCAGGACCAACCCAATAAAAGTAACTTTATTCACTATAAACAGTCTTTAACAGTCGCTGATGCGAGCAAATCGACTTCCATTTCTAACAGCCAATTTGATTTCTCATTATCTTCCTTATTTGGAAGAACAAATAAAGAACTGAACGAAACTAGACATTAAGATTGAAACACCCATGTACAATGTTTCATGGTTATAAACAGGCTCGGCTGGAATTAGTGGTGTAATTCGCAGTATCTGATAGCAAAGGATGAAGTTAAAGTTGTGTAGCTGATTAAGTCCCAGCATGATTAAGGAAACCCCAACCGTTGCAAAGAGAGCAATAAAGGCAAACTTAAGCACTCTCCCTTCCAAAAACCGCACTAGCACCAATGACAAGATAAACGCAGCGATAAACTGTATCACACCACTTGTTAAACCTACATGTTCCAGCATTCCGCGCACCGGCCCAAACGAAAGCAAGAAGAGGCAGCCAATAAAGACACCTAGCTTAAAGAAGAATTTAACCAATACAATAGCTAGACCCGCCAGAATAAGCCCACAAATAAATAATACTATAGTCTTATGCAGCGTATCTTTCGTTATAAAAGCGGCAATTTTTAAAGACGTATCATTGCCCATTGATTTCAACCCATCTACCGCATAGTCCAGAAAAAGCACAATGTTTTGATATAGGTAAATACTAAAAACAAACGCAAGGTTAACAATTCGCATATAGTTTCCAAACACACACATCTCTGCACCCAGCCCAAGGCTTAGCATAGCCTTAACTTTTTCATCTAAATGCACGTCCTCATAGTTTATGCTACGCGGTGTAAATATTCCTAGCACTCCCTCAAATGAGCTTATCTCTGTCATTGTTGTTATCCTAGGATAGATAAAACTATTTATATTTGGTGGACCAATATTCTGATTTGCCAAAACTTAGATAAAACACCTTCTAAAACGCCTTGTTCCCTGTCACAGAATCATTACTTGGACTAATAGTCATTAATTTGCTCGATTTTCAGATAGTATTATTATCAAGACACATCTTTTTCATCAAGACCGACTGGTTAATTGGTAGTTTGATTTAATTGGCCCACCTGTGCAACCACCCACTAATTCGCATCGCCGACCAGCCCCGCCCAGTTTCATCCTGTTTATCATGCATTACTATGGTACTAAGTAGAGTTACAGAGTGGTGTTAGTATTTGGGTTGGGTTATGTTAGTATTTGGGCTGGGTTGGCTTAATTCGTTGTTAGGTGTTTTAAATAGTGTATGAGGTTCTGATTAGAATTAAGCTATAATTGGCTCAATCACAATCTTGATTTCTTACTACTTCACTCATATTACTCCAACCATCTAAATGATCAGCAGACTTGAATGCTATCTAATAGGAGTATATTGAATGTCGAATATATTTCATCACGTAGATATGACATCTACTAACTCAATACTAACTCAACCCAACCCAATACATCGCAATACTAACTCAATCTAGTCTAAATAAAACCTAAGTACTATCTTGTTGTTTATTGGGTTGGTGAGATACGAAGATTATCTAAGCTAGAAATCACTGCCTCCCGAGTAGCAGCTGCAGCTAGCTTGGCCCTAGCTCTTTTGGCGGCCTTAGGAGAAATCTTAGGAGCTGGTGAGGGAACAGGTGCAGTCGAACGCCGGTATAATCGCCAACTGCCAAGTTCTGCCCGTTTCAACACAAAAACCGCCGCTAAATCTTCCTCCGTGTGTAATGTGCTTAAGTCATGGGCCAATACTACTTCTCCCGGTCTTAAATTAGTTACGTATGTCCGAGCATCAGCTAATTCGCCATTAGGCCGTACGACCACAACTTCAGTCATCCGATTGGCTCCATAAGCCAGTCCGTTTCTTTCATCCCGCCATGCACTCGATCTTTCTACCTCGACTACTTCCATTTCCACCGCCTTTGACCCCAGAGAAACTACTTTAATATCACGAGCCCAGCGAAAGTACCCTTCCTTGCCCATTTCTACCACTCGGCCATTGGCATCAGCTAAAACCACCGATCGTCCTACCCGCAAGACAGCCGTCACTCTTAAGCATCCTAAATCCTTCCCAGCCTCTTCCGGTAGCAAAATCAAATCATCCTCGTCCAGTCCAGGCACTTCTACTGAGTAGGCAAACTTGTATCTACTATCATTTGATTTCTTATCCATCTTAACCAATTGCTCCGATATCTTCAACCGACAAGGCACTATACCCTCTAAAAACCGCACTAAACGCAAGGCCGGAGTTCTTCCTTTAAAGAAGAAGTCTATTCCATCAGCTACACCTTTAATATCAGTAGTCTCAGTATGCAGTCCAGCCTTAACTACTGCTGCTTCTAGGCCTAGTAAAGTCTTCTTCCCACTAGCCTTCTGTCTTAGTTGCACAACCGAAGACCAAGTCTGATTAGAAGCCGCTCGAGCACAATCTAAACAGTGCTTCCCAATGATCTTCCATTCTAGAAGTACTTCCTCTGTATACGGTGCTCCTAACTCTCCTGATCTATCTATCTGCACAGCTACATGCAAACGTTTAGAGTGTGATTCTGCATGAATAAAGCGAGCATCAACCAAAGAAAGCTTATTCAACTCGGCTACAGCCCGTAAGAGATAAGCTAGCATCTCTGGGCCTTCAAAACGCAAAGCTACCCAAGAACTAGGCGGCATACTATATCGCAGACACGTGCTACACCGGTCTACACTTCTTTTCAGCTGAATGGCTAAATTAGGGAGTTCTCTAGCTCCACAAGGCCCGCACATACTCTGATTGGCTAAGGATATTCCTCCACAGAGACAGCAACGCATAAAAATTTGTTAATCTCTTCTTTAGTATCGCAAAACGGAACGGATTGGTTTTAGATTTAGATTTAGATTTAGTCAAAGTAAAAGTAAAAGTAAAAGTTAAAGTTAAAGTAAAACCTAAGTCTTCCCTTTAAATAAAAGTTAAGGTCTGTATTGAATTTAATATTAGATTGAGTTAAGTTAAATTAAGGCGATGTGAAGTGGGGTGGGGTGATTTATATTGAGATGGGCTTGAATTGACTTAAGGTAGTAGTATCAGACGGCTGCTATTCAATACTAACTTGAGCACTGGCAGGCTATGCAGTACATCCTAATCAGCACAGTTGTTTCTTGGTAAGGTCAGTCATAAACTATCGTCATTTATTCAAAACGCTCTCTATTTAAGCTTTGGAAATTGATCGTTACATTCAATATAAATTGACATGTAAACAAATAGCTGTCATACGCCATTTTAAGGTTCAATAGGCCTTTCATATGAATACTGTGTGACCTATGGACATACAACAGGCACCACTGCCTAGTACTACTAGCTTTATCCAATTTAATTTACATATCTAATGACGTCATCCTATTTTGACACAACCATGTTTATCTAACAAAAGAATCGATACTCAATACAAGGAATTCCTATAGGGATAGTATAGGGTTAGTTAAGATGTGCTGGGTTTGTGTTGGGTTGGTGTTTATTATTGGGTTATTATTGGGTTAGCATTGGGTTGGTGTTTATTATTAGGCTATTATTGGGGCTTGCACTTACAATAAATTGATTTACAGAATACGATTTGAATACTTTTGATATTGATTGGTTGTGGCTTATAAATAAAGTGTGTGATAGCAAATTGTACAATGAACAAAAGGTTAAATGAATACTCTTTGCAGGTTTATCGAGCGGTTTGCTTGGTTATTGTATTGTGTTATGTTTGGTGTAGTGCATGTAGTGGTTCAGAAGACGTCGGTGTGTATAGAGACGCCCATGCGATACAACAAGCTAATAGAATAGTAGATATGATTGTACCTTTGCTTAACTTGCATATAATTCATGAGAAACGAATAGCCCTAATCAAGGAGCACAATCTAATCCAATACACTGCTAAAGCCAAGGAACAAGAGGGTTCTAAACAACTGAGTCTAAGTCGAATTATTCGTGGGTGCTTCGGCCCAATTATGATGCTTTACAAACGTATAACAAACCGTTCGCCATCTCTAATAGTCAGAGAAGTATTGATACAGAAAAGTGCATCAATAATAGTCCAGAAGCCACTAGACTACTTAAAGAGCTGTATCAATGGAGAGAATATAGACAACGAGAACTTGACTCAAATGAGTGAGATAGTAACCCTAGTAAAACGACTGAATGCCATTAAGACTGACCTATTGATTCTAGAAACACAATTACAGGCTAACAAACTCAAGCGAATACCAGCATACCTAGAAGAAGAGATAGCCACGATTGAAACCAAACTAATTAAACTAGCCGAACGTTACGATTCCAAAGCACTAAACAAGCGGGGCAAAGAGGCTAAGAAAGAAGAAGAAGAACTAGAGCAATTGTCGAAAAAGGGAGATCATACAACACTAACCGAACTACTCCTAAAGTCGGACAAAGAGATAGAAAAAAGAGTATCTAATGATGAGATGGCAATGCTAGATAAGGCCAAAGCAATTATAGACGGTACGGCTACAGAAGCAGACGAGGTGATAACAGGTAGTAGACCCACAATTATAGGCATGTTATACCGGATGATCTGCCGCATGCTAACTCAACCCAATAGACATAAAGAAATGAAGGCCCGAAAAGCGATTGATCCCAAGTTCATAAACTCACAACCATCCATCTTACCAGCCCGACTAAACACCTCCCAAACAAATAAGCCTGACATAAACAACACACTTCACCTAAAAGACAGCACAATCTACTCTATTTCCACGTTCTACAAAACCAATCATTGCTTAAGTCCTATACCCCGTGCTCTCATTTTCGATCAGGAACCAAAACCGATTGAAGAACAAATGTCATTTTTTGATAAGCGTGAACTTAAACTGCCCGAGTTGAATCAAAAGGATTGTACACTTAAGTTAGACTCAGAGCAAGAAACGCTTCTTCGGAAGTTTATAAGCGGCGGGGTCAAGTACGTATTAGAAGAAGAAACCCATCCTGTTTGGAGGATGTTTGATATCAACAGAGCTAATCAATCCAATAAGTACGGACTATCTGGTACTGGGCCGGAAGATGACTATTCGGTTTTTCTGGACCTTGATTGGAAAGAGAATGAATTGATGAAGTTACTAGATGTCTTAAAGAAGTTCAGTCAAATCACACTCGATGCGGATAGGGTTGAGATATTGAATCCTCGCGGCCCGGCCGGTTTGTTAGTCCTAGCCCAGCTCCTAACACTGTTCGAAACCCCAGGGTCGAATGCTACGAAGAGCCCTTTTAAGCTTACTATCACTTTGGAGTATACACCTTGTCCATTTTCTGTGCTATCATTCAATGATGTTGATTTACAAAGCCAGTTCCGAGACCAGATCGAGAAGATCGAAGAGTCGCGATACATTGTCGAGTTGTTTCTCGACAATCTCACATCAGATATACAGAAATTCATTTGGCCACTAGTAACCCACTTATCAATAACCAAACTAGGCCTAGTTCGCCCCTTAATGGACAAGATAGACTTTCTTAACGATGTCAACTGGAGAGACCGATTCACCCTCATGTTAAATCTAGACTACCAAAAGGACAGTATTGTTAGCTTAGGAGGCAGAACTGCGAAAGGCAAAGATCTCCCAACTTGTGCTTATCTATTCGTTCACACTAACTTTCCAAATCAACACAAAAAACGTACTAACTGCCCGAGGGTTTATGTTCTAAACCTTGATGGATACCTCCAACCCCATTCCTCCGATAAGAAAGACAAACTCTTAACTACATCAGTAAGCTTGACTGTTGATGTTTTATTATCCTATGCATTCTTTGGCCTTAAACAGTCCGTGACTGTCCAGACTGTGAATATAGGTGGTATTCCGAGCAACTACACCATTAATGACATTGTCTTTCTTAGGCAGCAACTAATTAAGTTTTACGACCAACCGATTAAGTTCTACCAACATCTAGTTGAATTCTCCAGCCAATCGATTAATTTATATCAACAACTACTTGAAAATGACAAACAACTAGCTAACTTCTACCAACAATTAACCCAATTCAACAACCAACTGACTGCTCTCTACAAACCATCCAGCAACCTTAACTTACTTATCACCCCCAACCCCGGCAAAGGCTTATTCAACTTTTCCATCACAGCCCGTAATCTCTATTGGACTATTCCGAAAGATTCTACCAAACGCCAAGCCCCAGAACCATTCTCTAACCTAATAATCATCGACCCCACCATACCCCGATCAAAACCCAAACCTCGACCAAGGATTAGCTAATAAAGATCAGTCTTAGCCATTAGTGTTTACTCAAGTCCCAGCAAAGCATTAGGTTAGTATTGAGTTAGTAGAAATAATAACATGTGTAGATATGAGCTGGGTAGTTATACAAGCAACAAATATCAAGTAGTAATACGTGTTTATTAAGTATGCAGTAGGTTGGTGAATTTGCAATGGAGTTATTGAGAAGGAGCAGAGAAAACCTGGCTGGTAGCTGTTATGGTCTCTGGGGTAAGGGAGCCTTCAAGAGCAGCCAGGGCCATAATACTTAGGGCATGTCTTAGGGAAGTACTTTGGGCCAAACTACTTAAAGTATCCACTACGGACTCAGAGACATCTAGTCCCGCCGATTTACCTCGGGCCCTAATAATAGCCGGCATGACTTCCGGACTAGCGGCACTAACTGGAACTGATAGAGCCGTCCGTCTTAAAGAAGCAGGTAAAGTATTTAGCTCTCGGTTGGTAGCCAAAACAATGGCTGGACTAGATGAACTTCCAGCCGCACCAACTAAGAATCCTAAAGATGCTTCATCTAAACTATGGCACTCGTCAATAAACAATAAACCAGGTGTAATTTCAGCGGCACCACTAACTATTTGCTTAGCTACTCGGGCATTAACCTCCTCTCGCACTCGAGCTGGCACTTCAAACCGCCTGCCTCGTGCTACTGCCCCTAGAATTGCTTTAGCATCTGTACCCCGTGGGAATGCATTGGCCGCATCTATTTCATGAAGGGACATCTCCTGTAAGGTTTCTTTCCTAGTTAAAACATCACCTTTAGGCAAAGGAACATACTTAGTACTTTCAATATCAAACTCAGAGGCATAAGCATCACACCGGCCTAGTTTCTTAATGGCTCCAGAAGCAGTTTCAACATGCACAACATCACCAACTGTAATGCGCTGTTTAGCTATCTCCTGGGATGAAATTGGGTCTAAAGAGACTAGTTGGCTACCTTTAGCTGATTTTAAACGTAAGTCAATACGGGCTACTGTTTTACGGTAGTTATTTAGTGGGTCTTCTCTCTCCTCCACTTGAATATCAGTGACTTCTCCTTCATAAACACTCTTTATCTCACGAATCCGGAGAAGAGTGGCACGGCGTAAGGCCTGTTGTAACAATTCGGTGGTTTTGATCTCGGCTGAGAAGAGCTCACTACCGGACATACGTACAAAAGGCACTCGAGTGCCTAACTCGCGCGAAAGACCAACGGCCAAAGCAGTTTTGCCCGCTCCAGATGGACCAGTAATCAATAGAATAGACCCAGCTGTTTTCTTAGCTGTAATTAGATCGGCAAAAAGAGAGGCCGCTTGACGGGCCAATTCCATACCGTAGAGACCAGAACCTTCAATTGGACTTAATGTTCTATCTATGCCTAAGCCAGTAATGTGACTATGTGCGAGGCCTTTATCCATGGCTAAAAAAAAGCCGGGTAACTTATGCCGACGGAGTGGAAGTGTGTTTAGATGGGGTTAGTATTGGGTTGGTATTGGGATAGGGGGGGTGGAGGTAAGTGGGGAAAAGAGTGGTCTTCGTAGCTCAATGGCAGAGCGTTGCCTTCCTAAGGCAAAGGTTGCGGGTTCGAGACCCGTCGAGGACGCTTTTTGGGCTTTTTTTCTGATTAGGAATGTTATTAGTGCCAATCAAAGTCTGGGGTGTTTCTCGGGTGGTAATTATGGGGCTGGCTGGACTGTCGGCTTGGGCTGTGCCCCATCATGATTTTTCAGATCGGTTGTTGGGTGATTCAGGCTGGGGGTCGTTTTTGTTGCGCTGGGATGGAGTGTACTTTTGGGAGATAGCTAAACATGGGTATATCGGAGAACGGGCGACGGCTTTCTTTCCTTTACTGCCTTGGTTAATGCAGGCGGTGCATTGGGCGACTGGTTGGGAGTTAAGTACCTGCGGGGTAGTGGTGAGTAATGTGAGTGGATGGCTGGCAGCTGAAGCTTTGTTTCGATTGAGTTGGCGGTACTTTGGGGCGGAGAAAGCGAAGATGGCTTTGTGGTTGTTTGCTTTTAATCCATGTTCGGTTCTTTACTCGGCGTTGTATACTGAGGCCTTATTTGCAGCACTATGTCTTTGGGGCATACTGGGTATACTGAGTAATGAGTACGGCTGGGGGAGTTTAGGACTGATGGGAGCGGCTGCTACCCGATCGAATGGATTTTTACTGGGACCTTTAGTCCTACTGAACTGCTGGTTAAAGGCGGCCTGGATGAAAGGGATAGGACTGGCTGTAAGTATTGGGTTAGTATTTGGAGGCATTCAGGGGTACTGGTGGTGGGCACGGTTTAAGAGTATTGGCTGGACTTTGCCCTATTCTTATATTCAGGATAGGCATTGGGACCAGGGGTTCTTGCGGTTTTATCGGGATACGAAGAACATTCCGAACCTAATAGTTGGGCTGCCTTTTGTTATGCTTTCATCCTTGGTTCTAGGCTTAGGCGTCCGGCGGGAGGTCAAAGAGATACAGAAGGCTAAGAAGAAGGAGGGATTGAAGTGGCGGTTTTACTTGACTCCATTTAAAGCCACCACTCTGTTCTTGTATGCTTTGTTGTTATTCCAGATACTTTTATCCATCTTCTTTATTCATATGAACATGCACTTTCGCTTTGTATCTTTCAATCCGGTGATTTATTGGGAGTTAGCTGATCTTTTCTTAAGTGGCTCTGTTTTAGGCCAATTGCTTATTCTCGGGTATGTTCTCTTTGGTTTCGCCTATGCCGTGTTGTATGGAGCCTACTTCCCACCAGCCTAGTTGCTACTAAGTGACCAATTAAGTTGGTATTGTGTTAAGTTTGTGTTAAGTTTGGTATTGAGTTTGAGTTTGGTATTGAGTTGGTAGAAGGTATACTAACTGAATACTAACCGAATCAAATGCATATCAAGCGCACATATTGAAATACAGATCGACTTTATTGACCAGTTACTTATTAATTGGCTATCAACTATCAATGATTAGCTCATAGCAATCAGTACATAGCCCAATAACCTAAAGTGACTATAACAGACAATGACTAAATATCAACAAATTCAAACCCAATAAATTAGTGTTTATACCAGTTAATATAATCTAAAATAACCCAAACCTAACCTAACCCAACACAAACCCAATACCAACTCAACCTAACTCAATCTAATACCAAAGCAATCGCAATTAATAACCAGCCTGTTTAATTTTTTGCATGTTACGTGAGAATAGGCTTACTATCTATAGTATTACTGTCGAGAACTTTAAGAGCTACAAAGGAAAACATGTTATTGGGCCATTCTGTGCGGGGTTTAATGCTATTGTAGGTCCAAATGGATCGGGGAAGAGTAATGTGATTGATGCGGTTCTGTTTGTGCTGGGATTTAGAGCAAAGCGATTACGACATTCTAAATCTGAAGATTTAATTCATTCTGGGCCACCATCTGCGGAGTTTGCTTCGGTTCAGATTGATTTTGCTTCGCCTAATCTAAGTATTAAGCGAGAAGTAACTAGCAAAGGTAAAAGCACTTATACTTTGAATGATAAGACAGTTACTTTAGAAGTCTTAACAACCACTCTTAAGTCTTATAGTCTTGATTTAGTCAATAATCGGTTTATGGTTCTGCAAGGTGAAATAGAGAGTATTGCCCATATGAAGCCTAAAGGTACACCAGAAACACCCGGGCTAGTTGAGTACTTAGAAGAGGCTATTGGGACGACCTCTTACATTGAAAGAATTAAAGAGGCTGAATTACGGCTTAATGCCGTAGTGGAAGCCAATAGTTTAGTTCAGGCTGAAGCTAAGTTTGCTGGCCGGGCCTTAGAACATGCTGAATCTCGTGCTGCTACCAGTCTCTTGGCCATTACTAAGCACAAATCCTACTTAAAACAGCACTTGGTTACAGCCATACAAATTGAAGCCCAATCAGCTACTACCATTCAAGCTGCTAGCGCACAGCTAGTCCAACTTAATAGTGAAATCCAAAACTTAACAGCCCAAGCTAATCAAGCCCGCGAAATAGCCGAACAATCAGCGGCTGCCCATGAATTAGCCCAGAACAAAGCCCGATTAGAAGAAACAGCTTACTTGTCTGCCAAACGGGCCTATGAGACAGCAGACTTACAGTACCGTCGTAAAGTCAGCCGGCGCGAGATGCAGCAACAAAAGATCCAAAGCCTAACCACTGAACTAGCTACCCAGCAACGCCTGGCTAAAGAAGCCACCGCCCAAATAGAGACGGCCAACTCTGAGATAGCAGCTAACTTACTCCAAATCAAAGCAGCCCAACAAGTAGTTGCCACTGCCAGCCAAGAAATAGAAAAGGCTCGAGTACCCACTGAACTTTCCAATACATTATCTGCTGCCGAACAGGACCTTTTATCTGTTATCACGCGATTACAAGCTGCTCGAGAAAAGGCCCGAAAAAGAACCCGGGAAGTGGAGGCCATGGAAGGCACCCAACAAAGAAGACAGGCCCGACTCCAAGAAATTCCCCTAGCCATTGAACAAGCCAAATCCTCAGCCAAGTCCTTCAACGCGGATAAGGCTAAACGCGCCCAGCAAAAACTCCAAGAAGTCCGATCGGATCGAGAAGCCACTTTAGCCGAGCTACAGCGCCGCCAAGTTGTCCTCCAGGACCTACAACGCGATGCCGAATCGGCGGCTGCATCTGGTGCCCTATCGTCTTTATCTCGAATCAAGGGATTTCTGGGACGACTTAGAGATCTAGGATCGATTCCTGATAAGTATGCTTTGGCACTAGGCGCCTCAGCCCGTGGATCTCTCAACCATTTAGTAGTTGAAACTACTAAGTCCGCCGAACTAGTTCTTGATGCCCTGCGCAACCAAGGCCTTGGCCGACATACTATTATTGTCCTGGATAAGATAGCACCTATTCGGCCTCGTAAGGATGGCGTTCGTTTAATTGATCAAATTACTGCAGAGCCTAAAGTTCTTCCGGCCTTCTACTTTGTAATTGGAGAGACCTTGCTGGTTAAAACTCCCGAAGAAGCCATGAAACGGGCCTTTGCCCCAGATAGGCCACGAGTAGTCAGTCTATGCGGCCGGCTCATTGACCGTAGTGGGCTAATGAGTGGCGGAGCCGTTAGAAAGGCCGAGTTAAGTGGTTGTCGAGTCAAGAAGCCCCAAGGATCTATCCCAGAGGCCGAAGTGGCTGTAACTGAAGCCAAAGACGGCCTAGCTCTAGTCGAGGCAGCTCTAGAACGAGCAGAAGAAAGAGTAGCCACGTACCAAGCCGCTGAAAAAGCAGCTGCCGGTGCTCAAGCTCTAGTGGCCGAGTTAGAGAAGGAGCTAGACCGGCTTACTAAAGAACCCCAAACGAACCCTAAGCTCAGCCAGCAAGATCTTAAAAAGGCCATGAGTGAAGTGCTTGCTCTCGAAAAGGCCGAAGCCAAGGCCGAGCAGAAGCGAGCAGCCGCAGAAGCAGCCGTATCTGCCTGTATGGGAGCAGGCTACCGCGAGGCCGTGGCCCGAGCCGCTGGAGCTACCGCCCAAGCCACAGCCCTAGAAGAGCGCAATACTAAACTAGCCCAAGATATGCCGCGTGTACCCGATCTTAAGTCCATTGAAGAAGCCCTTAACGCCGCCCAGACAACTATTGAGCCCGAGCCTATTCCAGCCGCCGAAGAAGAGAAGACTCTTGCCCGCACCGAACGATCTATGCGCGAAGCCCTGGAACAAGCAACTGCCACTGAGAAGGCCAAAAGACTAGCGGCCAAAGACCGCGAAGAGGCCGATGCCGCCCTAGAAACCGCCGAAACTCAAAGAGTCACAGCACTAGAAAGTGAAGCCGAAGCCCAGAAACAACGCCAAATGGCCATCGAGAAGAAGAAGCGAATTGAGGCCCGACTAAGTATTTTACAAGAAAGACTGGGAACGTACTGGGAGAATTTAGGAGCCCAACTAAATGAAAACAATCAAAATCAAAACCAAAGTGCCGAGCAAATCTTAAGTGATAACGAAGAGAATTGTGAGGGTAATTCTAACGCAACTCGGTCTAAAAGAGGACAAGCAGCTGAATTTACCGAAGAAGAACTGGCTAGCAATGATGCCGAGATGGAAGGGCATATAAGAGCATACTTAGAATTTGAAACAGCCCGAGCTACGGCCGAAACTGCTGGTTCAGCTGCTGAGGCTAGTAATAGAGCGGCGGAAATAGCTAGTGCCGAAGTAAGTCAGCTTAAGGAAAAACGCGTCTCTGAGTTTCTACAGGGTTTGCATCAAGTGAATACTGAGTTGCGTACGATTTATAATAGCTTGACCCTGGGTGGAACAGCCGAGCTCGATCCCGTGGACTATGCTGATCCATTTTCTGAAGGAGTGGCCATGAGTGTTATGCCGCCACGAAAGAGTTGGAAGCGAGTATCACACCTAAGTGGTGGGGAGCGAACACTTTCTTCCCTATCTTTAATCTTTGCTTTACATGCTCTGCGGCCTAGTAGTTTCTATGTAATGGATGAGGTAGATGCCGCGTTGGACTATAAGAATGTTGGCGTAGTGGGACGGTTCATTGCTTCCCGAGCTAATGACTGCCAGTTTCTGGTTGTGAGCTTAAGAGAAAACATGTATGAGTTGGCAAGCGCATTTATTGGTGTCTACCGGCCGGCAGATACAACATTAGCAATTGCTGTATCAGCCCAGAGTATTGAATCACGTGATGATGATATGATAAAGGGGGCGGCTGAATGATGAGATATTGGGTTAGTATTGGATTTAGTATTGGGCTGGGGTAGTGAGTTGTTGAGTTATGCGGCAGCAAGGATGGGCTGGGCTGCTTGCGTGTGGGAAATAATTGAATCGGCTAGAGGCCGATTGATTTCTCTCTTATATTGTGTTCTGCTCCCTCCACTGTAGCTTCTGGACTGTTGGTTGTTTTGCGCATAGAGATTGCCTTGGTAGGTGCCATCTTCGCCGTAGGGATTGCTGGATCGACTTAGGTTTGGATCCTGACGAGTGTTTGGATCCTGACGAGTGTTTGGGTTCTGGCGAGTGTTTGGGTTCTGGCGATTGTTTGGATTCTGACGATTGTTTGGATTCTGGCGTGAGTATTGATCCTGGTGAGTGTTTGGATTCTGACGAGTGTTTGGATCTTGGCGTGAGTATTGATCCTGGCGAGTGTTTGGATCCTGGCGTGAGTATTGATCCTGGCGAGTGTTTGGATCCTGGCGTGAGTATTGATCCTGGTGAGTGTTTGGATCCTGGCGAGTGTTTGGATCTTGGCGAGTGTTTGGATCCTGGCGATCGTACTGGTTGTTTTGTTGCTGATCTTGGTTGTAATTAGAGGAGTGGCTAGGCTGGGAAGTAGCTTTCAGATCCTCGTCCGCCATTTTATACAAAGGCGTCTTGGTATTTGGTTGCTCGGCGCAGCTAGGCACTATATGAATAAAGGAACTCGGATTAGGTGTAGGTAAGAATCTTTCGATCGAGTTTGCAAACTGTTCAGTATGGGCTTTTGTCCAGATCGTCTCCCAAAGCTCCTCATCGATGTGGCTGGTGATCGAGCTATCTTCTTGACGGAGATGGGCAAAGATTGATTTGAGTTGAAGGTGCTGGATTAATGGAACGTCAAAGATGGCAGATAGCACGCTGACACGCCGTTTGAGGGCTTCAAAGAGAGCTACACCTACGTCAACCTGTAGCGGCCGGCGCTTTCCTTCCGGGCCCTCTTTATAGAGACAGGGTTGGAATTCGGGTGCTTCCATCTGTTTCTCAAACAACTTGGTTTCGGCTAAGAGGATATCGATCATTGAAATAGTGGTTTTAAGTAGATGCTTGTCAATGTCACGGGCAAAGGCTAGAACAGCCTCTAGTTTGCGATAGCGAAACTGGGCGTCTGTAAGGGGCTCCATGCCTGCTTCGTTAACAAGACGAAAGTAATGCCGCACGAAAGGGTCCCTAGCGCCTCTTTTGGCCTTGGCGTTGAGCATCTTAGACGCGTTAAGATAATCGAAAAGAATCATGGACTTATGGTGGACATCACGCTCAAAGGAAACAAGGCCGCAAACTTGGACCTCGGCTGCGCGGACAAAGTAATCGGCCATTTCGTCACTTGGCTGGTACATGGACTGAACTTGGACTAAGAAGGTCGGCCTGGCGACGAATGAAAGTTTGTTGTTCAGGAATTGGTTGAAGAGTCCAACTTGGGCGCTCATATGGGCTTTGGTTGTGGAAAGTACTTGCTTTGCTGTGTTCACAATAGTAAGACCGGGTTCGTCAAGGAGCTGGAATTTATGCTTTTCGCTTTGCCTAACTGTTTCTAGGGCCACTTCGGCACGAAGTGCTCTCAAGGACAGATCACAGAGCAGGAATTGGTAGTGGCCAAGTTCGATATCAATAACATCTTCAACTGCTTTTTTGTACTGCGTTATGTCGTACCTTAACAGGCCGCTCTGCATATTCTTAATGATTTGGTTGATGCGATCAGTTACTTCGGTCTTTTTCAGATGAAGGACTTCGAGTCGGTTTTCACGACTAGGAGAAGGCTTCCATGTATCGGCAGAGCCTATGTTGTCGCGGGCTGCTTGGTAATCGACGCATCTTCGGAGTTCTTCGCGTAGAATATCACTCCCGGGGTTTCCTGATTGAGCTACGGCATCCTGGAAGCGCTTTAAGTTGATATATTGTGACGTTCGGCCATGGAAGGGAATGGCGTCCTGAAGCTCCTCCGGACGAACATCGCCAGTTGAGCTGCCAATATGATAGTTGCAGACATTAGGGTCAGCCTGGCTGTCCAGAGCAGCCTGCACCGGAGTAATCGGTAGACTTGAGCGGACTAGTCGAGCGGCCTCTTCTACTAGCCTAATAGATGGCGCGTTAGACGTCCAATAAAACTCGTCAGTTAGGTCTTGGCGTCGGCAGTCGGTGGTAGGCATAGTAACTACTGGCAGAGCAGCGCCGTTCTTGTCTGCGGGACAGAGAGTGATTAGTTTGGCATGTCTATCGGGAAGATTGTGCATGTAATGGTGTTCATTGAATGGCGGTATTGTTTTATACTCCACTATGCACGGAATAGACTTTTGCGCCACATCATCGGCGGATTTCATATCGTTGACTGTGTTAATGAAACGCTTAGCCACCTTGCTTTGGGGCTCTGGCGCGTCTTCGTAATAGGGCATGGTAGTTTGTTTTTGGTTGTCAATGTTGCTTCGATATCGATTAATCCTGTGAAGGACTGAACGATAATTGTTGAGGCAATAATCTGTGAGCCCTTGGGCGACTGCAGCGATGCTGTCAGCGCCACCTGGTATTGGGTTGAATAGAAGAAGATAACTGAAAGTAGTACTGTAAAGATACTTGAGGCAATTCATGGGGTACAAAGATAGGAAAAATTACTAGTTTTGAAAAGATCAGTGATAATTGCTAATGATATGTGATGAATTTTGGATACAGTGGCAGCAATAACCCCATAAGCAGGTGGACTTTCTGAGGTAAACGACTGGCCAAACGCATCAGTAACTCGACAAAACGATGCCATGTGCAGGCCCGCAGCATGATCCCATATCTTTTCGGTAAACCGGGTGCTTGGCAAGCGAATGAACAGGTCGACACGGCGCACCCCCAGGTATGCATACTTGCACTGGCCGTCTAGAGGCATTCGGGTAATGGGAAAGTGTTTGGCCAGCTGGGTAAGAAACTGTTCAAGCAGAGTGCCTGAGTGCTCAGGTTCTGCCGAGTAGGCCACGCGCAGGTTTAGAGAGTTGCGAAAAGAGGACATTGTTTCGGCTGGCTGTGCGGCCATGGCAAATCGTGTGGCCAACGCCCGGTGTGGGTATTCAGGGAGATTAGTGCAGTAGAAGACTTCTAAAGCCCTGGGGTCCGCGATAATTGAAAAGACAGGCGCATGCTTGTAAAGAGCACACACCACAATCGAAAAGGAGCGGCGATTAATAAAGCCACGAGTCCCGTCAATCGGATCAATAACAATCGACAGCCGCTCAGAAGAAGAAATAGTCCGCCGTGGGTGTGAAGGCAAGGCTGAAGGGATGAGGTTGTGGGTTTGGAAGAAGGAAGCAATGTGTTGCAATGCCGAGCTAGAATTCACTTGGGTTAATGCCCGAAATACTTCTTGGTAGAGGTCAGAGTCGTCTTCCTCGGCCACCAGATCTAGATCATACTTGGCTAAAGCCGAGCACAGAAGAATCTGAATTGCAATGTCGTATACAGTGACTACTGAAGAATCTGACTTGGCAAAGAAAGACATATCTTGGGCGCCGTGGGCCAAAAAAGAGGCATAGCATACAGCTTCCATGGCAACAAGAAAGATATCATTAAACATGTGAGAATCAAACAAGGTGAAATAAAAAAGCAATTCGAGATGGCTTTGATTGTATTGTGTTGGCTAGTATTGGGTTAGTAGTAGGCTGGTTATTGGGTTAGTATTGGGTTAGTAAATCGGATGGGTTTGATTAGAGACTTTGTAAATTGTAGTCATTATATGTGTGCACATTTATTCAAAAACATCCTTGGATTTGCCATTCGATTAAACTCGACTATGGATAAGCTTACCGACAGCAAAGATTAATCCTAGGACGGAAAGTCCTCCTCCAGTAAGCAGTGCTGCCAATTTGATATTGCCCGAGCTCTTTTGGCTATTTGAATGACTTGTGGTGGTTGGTTGGGCTGCCTTGGGCGGTGATGTGTCTTGGGCAGATTCTTCTTTGCTGAATGTTGGCACTGGTATGGTAGGGGAAGGAATGCTCTGAGTGTTGTTGGCCGATCCGTGGCCGTTATGACCGCTATTTTTCCATACACTATGGCGGGGCGGGTTTGTTTGCGAGGAGAGGTTGAATGAGGTTGAATGAGAAGCATAGGGTGGCTTGGAAGGGCTTGGCACAACAGGAGTTTGTTTGGATTGGGTGATGACGATAGGAATGATGCCATTATATGAAAGGGGGTGGCTGGATTTATGCTTGGAGGAGCTTGTGTTTACGGTGTATCGCTCATATGATGGTATTGGGTTGATATTGGGCTTCTGTTCTGGGTTAGAAGAAGCCGTGCTCTTAGAGTTGCAAACAGTCACATTTGCAGGGTTACTATTCTCTTCGGATGATTGGGCTGTCTTAGAGTTTAAAGGCAATAAGGGTAGGGTGGACCATCTAGGTGCTAGATACTCTATTATTGTGCCTTTTGTATCTTGATACTTGTAAGGAGCTTGTAAAAATAGTCTCTCGACTTCGGTGGGATCGAGAAATTGGTTGAACAAGCGGCGCAGTGATTGAGTCAGTGTGTTTAAAAGATCCGATGTTTTAGCAAGCGCGGCTTTTTGGTCGTCGAAGAGCTTTGCGGTGTCTTGGTTAATCTCAGCAACGACTTCTTCTATTTTCTCCTGTACCCGGAAGCCATTACATAGACCGAAAATGCCTATATTAAACCTGCGGTTTACCAAGCAAACAAGCTCAATAATCTTTAACTGGGCAAAGGCCGGGCTGCTTTGGCCCGCAGTGACCTTATTCAAAAAGGAGGTTAAATCTGACTTATTCTTGTATTCACTCACCTGACCGATGAAAATGACAAGCTGGCTCAGATTCTGGTCGATAAGATCATCAAAGATGTGGTTGAAAGGAGGTAGGCTAAGATACTTTCTGACTTGTTCAACCCAGTTCTCAGATAAACAGAGCATCTTGTGATAAGGGTCGATCTCCGCGTTTATCGAGTTAATGTTTTGATGGTCAGATTGAATTTCTTCCATGTCTTTTGGCATCTTTGAGACATTGTTCTTCGAAGTTTGCTGTTTCCAGCACATTTGAAGGCTCTGTATCTCTTTGGCACGCTGGAACAGCAATCTAATGTAGTTATATCTATCTGCCAAACGCAGAATATACTTGGCCATGGCTTGTTGGACAAGGCGTGTGATTTGAGCCAAAGTCGCATCGGCATCCTCAAAATTATAATAGCGTTCAACAACCCCGATAAAGGAGTTTGCAATAGCGTTTTCTATAGAATCAGGGTATGGAATAAACTTGTCCAAAAGGGATTCGAACATTTCAAACATTATAACCTCAAGGTCCGCGTTTAACCAAGCTTTTTTCAAGCCATCATTCGATATCGGCAACTCGCCAAGGATATGGGTTTGTTGATCCATAATGATTGGCTCATTTTGATGTAGGAAGAGATCAATAGAATCATTTGGCTGGTAGCGAATTTGGTTAAGACGATCAACCACATCTACGAATATCTTAGTCATTGACTCTAAGGTCACATTTACTTCGTGAGTATATTTTGATATGTCATCAATGCTTTGATTTTTGTCTTTTGGGGTTATTTTCGAAGTTGAACTCTTTAGCATCTGACAAAGTTGGCTTGTAACATCAGCATAGAACTCGGTCCACTCTGTTAGAGACTTTGGGGCACCAATTACATCTTGAACTTCAATCACCCGGGTCCAGTTGAGACTACTCCAGTCTATAGGATAGGAAACAACTTGGGAAGGGATGCTCTCATGTTTTTCCTTACAAATGTGATCGTAGAAGGTAGATAAGTGTTGTGCCATCGTGCTAATTGAAGTATGTATTTCTTGGTTCGTTTTGGTATGATCCATGTATTCCTCGATCCGTGGCCAGAATTTATCCATTAGGGAGTCATTGTTCTTGATGTGCGCAGACAACAGGATTTTTAGAAGGCCAATATCGGTTGCATTCAAATAGTTCGGGTTTATATGGTCACACAAAGTATTAAAAAGCGGCTTGATAGCCACAGATATCTTCTTCAATGTTTGGATGAAATAAGCACTTTGTCTATTATAAGCTGGCTTCTGTATTAGAGAAAACCAGCCGCCAAACCAATTGTCAATGTCCTCGAGTTGGGTTATGGCCTCAAGTTTCGTCTGAAATACGCTATCAATATTCTTTTCCTGCTCAACCAATAGGTGAATCTCTTTCTTTATATTCCCAATTATATCCACAACTTTGTTATAATCCGACTCCAATGAGTTAGTGTACCACTGATATGTCTTTGGTAGCTCTTGAATTTGTTGTTCAATAGCATCGATGGCTTTATCTAATTGCAACATACTCTCGATCTTAATGGTAGTAGCTGCATGCGCCTTTGCAAGTTGTACGGCGCTGTCATCACTTTCTGATGTGCCACTAGAGCTCTGTTGGGCTACCTGCTCATCATTATCAACTCTTTCAAACCTTGTAACATGCTTTTTAGCATAAGACCACAAAATATCAGCTGACCACAGCAACTTACCACAAACATCTTCCCTCTCTGGATTGTTTGAATTCGCCAATTCATTGGTCAGCTGCGATATATCAACTAGATTCCAAATATTGTCCTCTTCAGAGACAACAGGTTCAACACTAGCCAAATTCTCACTACTGTTCTGATCAGAAGCAACAGGTTTAGCATTAATCAAACATCCAGAATCAAACCAATCCCCACAATCATACCAATACCCACTATTGCTCTGATCAGAAACTGCAACGTCAACACTAACCCAATGCTCACTATTACTCTGATCAGAAACAGCAGATTCAAAATCAATCAAATTCCCGCAATTAAGCAAACCATCATTGTTGGCCTGGTTAGAAGCAACTTCTAGTTCATTTGGGCTAGAGTTTTGCGGGTTGTCTAAACTAGTTAGCTTGTCATCCGAAGATTGCTCCGATGCATTCAACTGCTTGGAAGCACTCTTATTAGCCAACACAAAAATCAGCACGTAACAGAATACTATGACTCTTAAGACCAAATATCTAGGCCTTATTAATCTAAACTTAAAGTCCATAAATCTTAAGTTTCTTCGGCTTATCTACTTACCAAAATTCATTTATCACTAGCCATTTATTTACAAGCAAACAAGCAAACAGGCAAATAAGCAAATAAGCAAACATTTAATATTCATTAATCAAAACCCAAACAATAGATACCATTAACACTATCCCAAACAAAGAATAATTCACCCCAATCGAACTTTCAACCAATTTCTATTTAAATACTAGCCCACTATCTCTAGAATCTCTTCAAAACAAAAAACAACTCAATATTATCAAAACAACTCTTTATTTAGATTACTATTTACTTCAACCCATCACACTACTAAAGAAGAACTTAACTTAAAATGTACCAACAATCAGGTCGTCCTTTCCCAAAAAGGAAACAACGGTTTTATTGCTGCTAACAATGTACTGCTTTGCTAAGCAAGCAGCGATCCAGGGGGCAAAAAAAAGACTAAATATCTAGTGCCAAACCACTCAACCCGATTATCTCTATACCAGTCCAACTACTAAATAACATCCCACTACCAATAAATCACTTCCACTCCAAGCTACCAGATCTAACCCATCTACTTACTTTTAACCCATCTACTTTATGTCATCAATCCATAGCTACTCTGTAGCCTAAGAACTTAACCTCTACCAAAATCCTTTGCCTCTGATCCCAACTCAACTCAACCCAACTCAACTTAATCCAATACTTAACTTAATCCAATACTAAACTCAACTTAACCCAATCCAATCCAACCTAATACTAAACTTAACTCAATCCAACCCAACCCAATACTTAACTCAACTTAATCCAATACTAAACTCAATCCAATAAGTGTTTTATTTCAACCGTATTAATGTAACTGTTGCATTTCAATTGTCATACACTACACACTAAACCATTTGGATGCTTTTGCTACTTACTAAGACTTCTAATGGCAAGATGCGCTTCCGGCCATTAACACTGCAAATAACATAGCTGGCTCGGTCTTGCACAAAGATTCCCCTTCTTTTGAACAGAAGCCGGGCGGCCTTTTCCAGCTCTTCAGCCTCATCGGGCGAAAGTTCCTCATGACGACAGACAAGTTGATCCTTCTCCACGGCCAGAACTCTTTTCTTGTACCCAATAGCAATCACCTGGCAAGGCGTGAGATAAGGGAATCCACAGTAAGTATAGCCACCGCCAAAGATCCAACTGGCCTTCTGCTCTAACTCAGCAGTCATCTCAGCTACAGCTATCATTTCCAAAGCAGCCATTAAATCGGCACATGGTTTAAGACTAAGCACCATTCGCTTGCGCTCGCCGCCAAAGCACGAGTTCATTACTTTGGACATAGTTGAGACAACTCGTTTGGCAAACAGAGAAGGAATGTAGATTTGTGCTTTAGACGGAGTAGGAACCGACTGCAAAAGAGTTTGGTACGCTTCAAAGGTTCTTTCATAGGGAATCTCTTCGGCCTTAGTTGCTCCAACTCGCCAAATACGCAAAACATCTTGCTTATTCCTGATTAGATCGGCACTAGGTACGTTTTGAATTCGCTTATCAACTGCAGCTTGAATCTTAGCAATATCCACAAAGGGAATTAAGCACAAAGACTCCCAAACAGCCTTTTTACCATCTTGATCAATAGTAAACTCAGTCGGATAGTACTCACTTAGTTCAGTAAAGACACCTCGAAGCGCACTAGGCAGTAAGTCCTTATTAGCCGCCGGAAGAATACCTAGAAGTTGCACAAAAGGAGAAATAGGTCCATCACGTGCGTATCCAGTTCTTTCTTCTAAATCCTTTTCTATCTCTAGACTAGACCCATTAGGATTCTCAGCAATAAGTATCTTAAGGGCCTGTACAACATCAGTTAAAAAGACTGAATAGTGCTCTGGATAAAACCAACTCCAAGAATCACATTCAGCAAAGTAGTACTGGCAAAGCCATTGTAAACTCATCAAATAATCAAAAGTATGATTTACATCAATCTTCTTTTCCCGGTATCTAGTTTCACGCATTGCATCCCAAAGCAATTGTCCGGCCTCTTTCCCGGCTGAATCTATCACTGGTAAAGTCCGGGTGGCTTGAACTTGGGCGGCAGTAGGTTGCTTGGCCAGTCGAACTGCTTGTATCTCCGCCTTAGTCGTATACATAGGCGCTCCCCCGGCCTTGACCAGTCTTTGGTTAAATAACTTGGCTGTATTAACGAGTGCAGCACTTTCTTTAGCTAAGACTCGTTCTAGTACGCCTCGATACGTATATAACTTCTCTGGTGGAGATAATTGCAAGGCCTGGTGGACATTAAGACAGCGCTCATAAACCACTACTTCTTCTAAAAAGAGGTAGAGAGCTCCCCAATTAATCCGACCGTTCTTATGCAAAGCCACTCGTGTCCTTCGCCGGTAATCACGATACAAAATCAGCAAACTATCAAATGAAACTAACAAATTGAAAATACCAGGAACAAAATCATTACCAAATAAGGCCATAATAAAAACAATATCATTAACGGCTTCATTAACTGCTTTCTTATCATTAGCTCGCATACCTGTTTCTAAGCACAAGTACTCCCGAATAATATGGGCGTGTAAGAAGATAAACCCACCAGTACGGTTGTTCCGGAAGTCCATCTCTTCCCTTAGTATTGAGAAGTGGGGCATAGAGGTCAGAAGAGTCAAAAGGATTAAATCAGCATCTAGTCCATGAATACAGTGTCGCTTGGTACTGCACTGTTCAGCTGTGTTTTTGATATAAGAGATAATCTTATGCTCTCCTTCGCCGGGAACACGATGGCCTGAAAAGATAACAGTTACTTCGGACCAGATCTTAGCTTGAGCTGCTCGTCGTTTGGCAATGAACTCTAGCATTCTTTCTTGTAAGAACTCCATAAACTCAGTGCCTGGTGAAATGCAGTTGGGATCAAAACCGACGGTTGGCTCGGCTGCTATCTTATAGAAACGACGCGATCTTTGTTGGTTCATTTTCATGCGGCAAACAGGTCCATCTACTGATAAGTAAAGTAGTTCTGTTGGTTTTACAAACGAAACAACACTCTCAACATAGGCCCAGATATTCTCGGCCATATCATCCCATGTAGGCTCTTCAACTTGGCCTTTTCGGCGCTTTCCATTATCATGAGTTTGCATATGAATGATTCCATTCATATCTATATAGAAATTCTCGTATGTACCACGAGTATCTTGGTTTTCAATTGAAAGAGGATATCTTTCAGTAAGCATCTTGAAGAAGCGTGGAATACCCATGAAAAAAATGCAAAATAGTGGTTATATTGGGTTAGTATAGAAACTATCTAGATCTAGAACCAAATAATACATTGTTTAGTTGAGTTGGGTTGTATTTGGTTGTATTGTGTAGTGTTTGCTTGTGATATGTTATTTTTTGATTGGTTTGGGTTGGTATTGGATTGAGTTTTTTATGTTAGTTGGACTGATTGGTTAAATTTCCTTTTTTGGTAATCTGATTGGGTTAGTATTGGGTTGGGTTGAGTTTGGTTGAGTTTAGTAGAGTTGAGTTGAGTTGAGTGGTGGTGTAGTGCGGGGTTGGGTTGGGTTAGTCTTATAACGTGGTTGGTGTTTTGTTGGTGTTGAGTTGTGTTAATGTTGAGTTGTGTTAGTGTTAGTGTTTGATGGATGGATGGATTGGATGGGATGGGATTGGATGGGAAGAAGGCAGTGGTGTTTGCTGGTTATTGGTGGATAGGGGTTAGTGTATGAGGGGCTGGATGGAATTTTTGGGGAGAATGTTCCAGGCTGTTTATGTACCTGGGTAGGAAACAGATGTGAAACCTGAATTGAAGGTATTTAAGGAGTAGAGTGTGTGTTAGTATGCATATGCGGAAGTTTGCAGTCGGAGTGGCTGTGGTGCAGCTGGCGCAAGTAGTGTGGGGATTAACCTATGACACATGCAAGGTCGTGCCGGCCGCTGGTCTGTCAATAATCAAGTACTATCGCGAGAAGTGCGTGCACTGCCAGCGAATTGCACCTAAGATAACCAAAATCATTGATTCAATTGAAAAACACGGAACACCCGTAATGGGATTGATGGTTGACACGGATAAGTGCCATGATGAAGGTGTAAAGCTAGAGGCTATTCCAACCATAGTAGTTCAGAACAATGGGCTAGAACTCCTGCGGTTTTCGGGCGATCGGCCGTACACTGAAATTGCTGAAATGATAGGTAAAGCGACTGGAATATCCACATCGGTCTTTACGGCTATGCCAGAGGCGCGCAAGAGCCTTTTACACCTCACAAAGAGCGACTTTTTATCTGGATTTGCTGGTCCATGGGTCATCTACTTTGAAGATAGCTATAACCATGTGGTTGAGGACATTCTTTTACAGACATACAAGGCCTTTGATAATGAGATCAAAATAGCTAAGTATGTGGGCGCAGACAAAGAAATAGTTGCTGGTAGGTATTACATCTATGACTTCCCTGGTATTCTGGTGATGTACGATGGCATTCTTATGCGGTACAACGGCGAAATGACCCTAGCGGCCTTCCATGAATTTTGCAGTCGCTTGGTCGAGCCTAGTTTCAAGGAAGTTACGGCTGAGGAACTACAGAGCGTCCAAACCCCAACCTTTGTGGTCTTTTATTCGGATCCAATTCAAGCCAACCGGACTTTCCGCCGAATAGCTCATGATCTGAAAATGAACGCCATTACTCACAAGATGAAGGTCGAGGCCAATGAAGGCGAACAAGTTCTAAGACTGGCTGTCTTTAAGAACGGCACCAAATTCTACTACAGCGGAGACATCAACGATGAAGGAAGCGTACGAGAATGGCTCTTCCACTCCCACTTCCCCAATACTTCTAAGCTATCAATGGACAATTTCTACTCTATCTTCCATGGACTCAAACCGGTCATCTCCATTATAACCGATGGTGGAAACAACCGCGAGATTTCTATCTTTGAAGAAGCAGCACTGGCCCACAACCGCGGCAACTCATCCTCGCCCTACGTCTTTACCTTTATAGATAAGAAAGAATACCCCAAATTCACCGAAACCAACTTTGGACCGTTGCATAACAAGCCATTGGTGGTCTTCTTCAACCCAGAGAAGCAAGTCTTCTATGGCGAGCGAATTAAAGCAAATGAATCGTTTGATGCTTATCTCCAAAGACAAATCCAAGCATTTGAGTCGCAAACAATCCCAACCTACACGAAAGAAGCGCCACTCTCCTACAGATGGATTCTACTGGCCGCTGGTCTTATTATTGGAGTGGGCTCAATAGCCAAGCTTGGGCTAGCAACCAGAAAGAAGTTAGCTCTTGAATAAAAGCATAGTTTACAATTAAGTTAACAGTCTCATGTGCCAATATTATGTCTCCTTTATTGTCCTAGTGCTAGTGTGGAGTTCAGGTTATTGACTAAGAGGTTAGGATTGAGTTAGGATTGAGTTAAGATTGGGTTGGTCTTGGATTGGGTTAGTCTTGGCTTAGAACGCTTGGATTGGTCTGCCATCTGGTTCACAATCCTCACCATCTTCATGGTGTTAGTTATTCGCTCGCTGTCTATAACTTTATGAAGTCTGTATTTGTCCTCATACATTTTCCAGTAACCTATGAATTTATCAAACTTGATCTCGCTTAGCTTTTCGTCCAATACCAGGTTAGGCACATAAAATGCCAGGAGAGCCAATATAAAGTGTCCATCTTTACTAATCTTCCCAACTTTTATCTCAGTATCACCAGTCAACTTCTCCAAATGATTTTTCTCTAACAATCTGCCGCAATTTGTGATTAACATGGTGTTGTCATCCTTTAAGTTCAAGTTTATCCCTATTCGTCGATGCGACCCTTCCGACGGATTAATAGCGCGCAAGAAGCACACTAACAAACCATTCCCCAACAAATCCGAACCACAATCTAAATTCTGAACAACTAAGTCTCCTTTGATTAGACTAACAGGCCTCATACCGTCCGCAAACATCCTATACTCTTTGTTTGTCCAGCTATCTGGGAAGTGTATAGTAACCACACCCGAAACCAAAATATGCCATCTTTTCTTCGACGCATCATAATCAAGCTTCAGATAATTTGTTAGAGCCAGCACATCAGTCGCTGCAGCCTTTTGCTCACTAGAAGGCACCCATACCATCTGCAAGGCTCTATAAATACCATCTTGATCCCTCGTTCTTTTCTTTAATGCCTCTGCCATATCTCTCTCCATTTCCATATCTGAAGTCCTACTTGGCATACTTAATTTTAGCCTTTTAGCATCTCTTCTTTGGGCCAAACTGCTATCACTTCTAGGGGCAATAGTCCCATTGCTACAATAAACACCCACCTGCAGTCCTATTATAAATCCATATACTAACAGTCTACTTCCCACTATCATCAAACAGAAACTACCAAAAGTCATTAATTTATATCCTCAATCAAGTGATAACCAGCCAATAACAAACTAATACTAATCCAATAACCCGGCCAAATTAAACAATCCCTCCTCACAATATAACTTACCACACAACACCATTACAATACTAACCCCATCTCAACACTTAACACACCACAACTCAACCCAACTCAACTCAAACGCCTATCAATGAGTATAAAGCAAGCAGCCTATACTTTTTTATGCAGTCTAAGGAAGAGAAGCTTCCCTTTTTCGGAATGGTCTTCGTAGTGACCGGCGAAACTGAAACACCACGTGAAGACTTAGTTGCCCGAATTCGCGAACTTGGCGGAAAAGTAACTCTTTCGATTTCAAAAAACACCACCTATCTATTAGCCGGTAAAGAACCAGGACCATCTAAGATGAAAAAAGCACTAGATCTGGGAACCAAGATCATATCTGAATCTGATTTCGTTGCCATAACCAAAGATTACATTGTTCAGCCCCAGGAAGTTACACGAGAAGTAACTCAGTTGAGTAATGAGAAGTGGATAGATAAGCACCGGCCACAAAGCATATCTGAACTAGGAGGAAATAGTAGTGCAGCTGATCAAGTAAAAGTCTTTCTTATGGCCCTTAATCGTAAGCCCTTGATCATTGCCGGTCCTTCGGGAGTAGGCAAGACTTTATCTGTCTATTTAGTCGCTAAAGAGTTAGGCATTACCTTGATTGAGTATAATGGAGCTGATTGCCGTAATAAAGCGGAAATTGCTAATCTTTCAGTCTTTTCAGCCCAACAGACTTTAACGGTCATGGCCGGAATGCACCGGAATAAGGTTATTCTTCTGGAAGAAATAGATACGATGGGGGCCAATGATAGGGGCGGACTTAATGAAATTCTTACTTTGTTCAAACAAACTAAAGTTCCTATTATTATGACGGTTAATGATAAGACCAATCCTAAAATCAAAAGCATTCTGCCTAAGTGTAAAGTTATTGTTTTTCAAAAATTAGATAGCCGGACTATTATCAATACTTTCAAAAAAATAGTAACTAAAGAAAAGATATCTATTGCAGATAATACTTTAGCTCAAATTGCGGCTGTTTGTGGTGGTGACATGAGGTATGCCATTAATGCTCTACAATGTCTCTGTCAAAAAGGAAGTATCTCTACTGAAGACATTAAGGCCCTAGGTAAGGAACTAACTACTACTAATTTGTTTGATACAACTAGGACTTTATTCACTCGTAATACTTCTATAGACCGAAGAATGAAAGCTTTCTATTCCGACACTCTCCTCTCCCTCATGATGGTCCATGAAAACTACCAGGAAAGTCTTATTAGTCTATCCAGTGCCGCCAATACGGCCGATAGTTTAAGTCAGGCCGAAATCCTCTCCTCACAAGTCTTCTACCAAGGCGAGAAGAACCTTTTCCCTATTGCTGCTTACTATACCTGCATTAAGCCCGAACTACGTTTAAGTACTCGCATTAACTTTACCAAGTACTTAGGATTCTCCACTACTAAAGAGGCCAAGTACAAAAAGATCGCTCGTCTTCTTAACCATTTCAATACTGGTGGAGTGTTCACTAGTCGTTCCTTACACCACCACCTGGCCTGGCTAGCCACTTTCATTGCCGATAAGAAGGTTCTTCCCGCCGCCAAAAGCCGCCTAATCCAGCAACTTCAAATCGACAAAGAAGACTTCCAACTTATTGCCGACCTAACCAATACTAAACTCTCCACCGCCAAAATTGTCTTCCCCCACAACTGGGATAACTAACTCAATCTAAACCCATCACAATCCTAAACCCAACTCAACTCAACCTAAACTTAAACCAAATAAACAACAACCACCATCTTATCTTATTTTAATCTCGTCTTATCGAAATCAAAATATCAATTTAAGACCACATTAACCCCTCCTAAACCCAAACCAAACCCCTTCTAACCTCATCCTAATCCATCACATAATATCACCTAACTCCATCCTAACACACCCCAACCCAATACCAACCCCATCCTAACCCAATACCAACACAATACTAACCACCCCTAAACCAATCATACTAAGCCTTTATTATGTCCAATCAGTGTGTTTGCTATGGAGAAAAAATACAAGGAGAAGGAGAAGACCGAGGATGACTACCTTAAAGAAGTCGAGCGTATCAATTACAAGACCGCCCTTGAAGCTCAGAAGACGTTAAACTCAATTAGCAAAACAACTAGTAAAACTCAAGCAATTCTCTCAGAACAAAGAGAGAAATTAGAAGACATTATGTGTGAAGCCGATTCTATCCTCCAAAATGTCTCTAAAGGCAAGGAACTTTCCGTCAAAATGCAACGTGCTAGTAAATTCATTACTATTGGAGATAAAATAAGTGATAAAGTCAAAGGCATCTTTAAATCAACGCCTACTAAACGACCGCCTCTAGAAACACGAACTGCTCCCCTACAGTGCAGTATTCCTCTTAAAGAGCCCTATACTGCATGTCCACAAGAGGATGAAAATCCAACTGAAGATTCGACCAACGCAGTCCTTCTATCCATTCGTGATGGACTCAAGGACCTACAAACCCAGCTTAAGTCTCAAAACAGAGAGATAGAGGACCAAATGCCTCTAATCAAAGAGATAACAGAAATTAACAAAACTTCAACTGAAGATGCCGGGAAGGTCCTTAAGAATCTCAAGAAGTTGTAAGCAAGTAAATATACGGCAAGCAACCCCTTGAATTTTTCATGAAAACCCCTCTCTCGTTGTTGCGGCTGCACCGAGAACTGGAAGACATTTCTATTGCCGCTGGGGATACATTGGCCTTAGAAACGTTTGCTGATGGCTCGGCCCATTTGACATGGCATTTTCATATTAAAGATGGGATTTACGCTGGACATAAGTATCGGTTTCTAATCAAAATCAAAAACGACTATCCTTTTTCGCCTCCTAAACCGGTATGTCTTGATCCGGTGCTTCATCCTTCTATTGATCGACTGGGCCGGGTCTGTTTAAACATTACTCGGGAAGACTGGAGTGTGCGCCAAGGGATTCAGGCGGTTATTTTTGGTGTATCTTCTATTTTCTATGACATTCCGTGTGAGGATCCTCTTAATGCGGCGGCTTTAGAGCTATTCCTGGAAAGTCCTGATAAGTTTCAGATAGCAGTTCAGCAAACTTACCAAAACGGGCAATAAAATATTTATATGAAACACTTAGTTTGGATAGCTGGAAGTTGGCTTTCTTGGCGTGGGGCGAACTTTCATTTGGCGGTTGAGTATTTTGATAAATATTTGGGGTTATATTATGAGGGTAGATTGGTGGCTGAGTTAGAAACTGAGTCTAAAATCTTATCTGTGGGGTTAGGAGAGAGATTAAGTCTTCTGTTTGCTTCTGATCTGGTTATCTATGCTTATGATTTAGAGCGGGGCACGGTCGTAGAGGCAAAACGGATTGCCTTATCTGGGGTTGTTTTTGGACTAGCAGATCAGGAGTATATGATGGTTAGAAGCTGTACTAAGCATATGAAAGATGTACTTTGGGACCTTAGTAGGTTACGGTCGTATCCTATTAATCGGAATAGTAATGGGGAGTCAGAGCGGCAGATTATTGGGTGGCGAGTTCTGAGTAGGGATCGAATTGAAGTTGAGTATGCTGATCGGGTAAAGGAAGTGCTGGTTTATGATAATGAGAAGTTTAGCTGGATTGTGTCTACTAGATGTAAAGGGTTTAGTACGACTCTGTTTCTGGATAAGAGGAACCTGGTAAGCATTAATGACCAAACAATCACTCACTCTGTTATTTCCATAAGTCGGAGTTTATGTCAGGGCCAGACTGTCGAAGTGTGCGAGTTTAAGCCCAATAGTCTCACTTGTCTTATTAATGGCACTCAACACCGGATTTATCGCGACTTAAATGGGTTTGCCATTAATCAGCCAACCACGCCCTTCCACTCCCCAGCTAATTCTACTACCACTACTACCACCACCACCACCACCACTACCACCACTACTACTAACACCACCACTACCAACCCAATACTAACTACAACCACGCCGCATGTTTGCATAGAGAAGAACAACTTACTAATGGTGAACGGCCGAGTCCATGCTCGTTTGCTAGGCACCCCGCTCTTTTTGTCTTATGATGGCACATACCTCCATCGAGTTGATCAATGTGGGACTTTATCTATTTTCAAATTGACTGAGCGCTTAGAGTACCTACGAACTATTAATATTGCCCGAGCCGTTGATTTAGTCGGGTTTTATGCACTCTCAACGAAACGGGCCACTTTGACTCTGAGTATCTATAAAGAGAAAGTCGAAGTAATTGAACATCTAGAACGAGTAACAACCAAAAGCACAATCCAAGCAGCCAATCCTATCAAAAGTGCCTGTAAATACCGCAAAACCATTGTTACTCAAGATGTTCATGGCCAGTACACTCGCTACTATCTAGATAAAAACAAGACTCTGGTCAAAGAAGACCTTCATCCGCCAAAAGATACAGTCCAACTTCTTTACTCCGCTCCTAACCCAAATGTTTCTCTAAAGCGCTTAACCATCAGCAAGACCCACCAAACGTACACGGCTTATATCGAAGAGACCAAAACACTTAGCACTACCTTTATTAAATTCTTTGGCTTACTACATACTGGCTACTTCCATTCTGATGGGTTTAGTCTCTTTCTTTCGGGCCAGCCCAAGGTTCACTTCCAAGCACCCGTCAAAACTATGCAGGTCTTTAGCACCGCTCAACTCAGTGCTCTTCTCGTTCATCTGGCCTGTGGCCGTCTTCATTTATTCTACATTCAAAATGAACAACTCCTGGGCCGCCTGACCCTATCTGAACGAATTACGCCTGATTATCTTGAACTGGTTGATTTAGAAACCATAGCTACAGTCCAGTTTAATACTTTTAGTCTCTTTAAATACACAGACTATCTCCATCTTACTTGTTATATAACACTAACCCAGCCAATTACTTCATTTATCTACACTAACGAAACGATCTACTTATGCGGCAAACAAGGTTTATTATGTGCGCTTAGCAACGATGAGCCGGATAGCGAGTACTTGTCACCAGATAGTTCATTTGGCGTTACCCTTCGCTAAGCCATTTCTAATAAAGGCTAAATCTACCTTATGACCAACTAACTCTCTGATGTTATTCATTTGTCTGAAAATCATCACTGGCCGTTCTAGTGATAGGCCCCAGCCGATCACTCGTACATTAGCAGGCAGTCCCATGGGCAGAAGCATTTCTGGCCTAAACATTCCGGAGTTACCTATCTCCATCCACTTTTTCATCTCTTCGTGATAGGCAAAGACTTCTACACTAGGCTCGGTGTAGGGATTGAAGGCCGGCTTGAATTTGATCTTATCAATACCAAAACTTTTGAAAAAGGCCTCTAAGAATCCCATTAGATGGGCAATCGTTAGGTGCTCGCCAATCACAATTCCTTCCACCTGATGAAATTCGGCTAAATGAGTGGCATCCAGGGACTCATTCCGGAAGACCCGATCGATCGAGAAAAACTTACCTGATAAGCGGCCCTCTTTAGCCAGCTGGTATAATAAACGGGTCGTAACTGCTGTTGTATGAGTTCTTAGCACGTTCTTTCTGGACTCCTCTAAGCTCCAAGGGGCTTGATGACCAATTGAGCCGTAAGCTCCAACCGTATGTACGGCCTCCACCCGGCGCAAGTACTCACTATCTGGATCCTGGGCTGTGCTTGGGTTCTCTAAAAAGAAGGTATCCTGCTCATTCCGCGACGGATGGCGCTGTGGCTGGAAAAGAGCATCAAAGTTCCAGAAAGAAGACTCCACGTACTTCCCAGCATTCATCTCTTCAAAGCCCATCTGCAAGAAGATACTCTTAACTCGCTCTCTCTCCAAGGACAAAGGATGCAAAGCACCGGAATACTTAACCAGATTGGGCACAATATCAAAGTTGTACTTCTTTAAGCCCTGTGAGATGTTAAGATTGTGCAGCATATCTGAAGTAATATCACTAATGAGTTGGTCTGTGACATTAAAACTTTCGCCTTTCTCAATACGATAGTGGGTTGTATCTTTTTGAACAATCATCTTTCTTTTCTTCAAGATCTCAATCTGGGCACTATCTAAAGTTGTTAAATTGGCCAGGCTCTTCTTGATAGTATCTTCATTCTGCTCAGTCGCAATAACTAACGAATCACCACTAACTTTGAAAAGTCCAGATTTAATCCCGTTGTTACGGCCAACCATGATAAGCTTTTTGATCTCGGCATCAGACATAGATTGGTATACAGGATTAGTCCGGTAGTATGCATCAAGTTTAGACATTTCGACTCCTTTTTTGAGAGCAAGATATAATAGATACTCTGGCGAGTTACTCTGCTGAACTAACTCACCTGCTTCAGTCAAAGCAAGCATCTTGTGTCTAATTGGCGTGCATTTAATGCGGCCAAATGATTCGAGCTTTTTAACTACTCCAATAACAGTTACATAATCGCCCGAGATACTTGAGCTGTATAAGGCACCTTCGGTCTTAAGATGCTCGATAATAGTCTCTTCAATACTAGTCAAGTTACTCATGCTAAAAAATGACGAAACACTACGCTAAATCTTAGTTCAACCTCAAATAAGCCATAGCTAAATCTTAATTATCCCATTTCATAGCTATTGAGGTGGTATCTTATTACAGTTACCTCAATACAGAAATATCTCATTGCGACTATATCATAATTAGAGTGTTTATTGAGTTGAGTTGGTATTAGGTTATGTTGGTATGGGTTGAGTTGAGTTAAGTTGTTACTAAGTTAGTATGAGTTAGTTGAATGAACGGAATTATTGGATTATGCTAGGAGGTGCTTCGGTGGCTTTGAGAGCTTTGGCAAGTTCTGAGATGACTACTGAGCAGGTTCGGAGCACGCTGGGGTCGTTTTTGGTTTGGGACCAGTCTTGGATTTTCTTGATGGGGTCGGTGATGTTGTTGTTTTTGATTAGTAGTTTTAAGATAGCTAGGAGTTGGGCATCGGTCGATTCGTATGTTGTGTCTGGTGAATCTTCTGGAGCAAAGTTAATGGCTTGGGCATAGGACTTAATGACCTCGCAAAGGATTTTGAGTGGAGTCTCTTTCTCCATGGCTTCTTCAAAGAGACGTTGCGCAATGGTTTGTAGCTCGCCGGTTTCTAAAAGGAATAGAGAAATGGGCCAGTGCATGCCTTTGATTTTGATCATACCTGTGCGTAAAAGGTGTCTAATAAGGATAAGTGCGGTGACTTGGACTGGAGTGGAAGTATTAGCAGAAGATACGAGTGGAATAAATAGATGGGCTGAGGCATCGCCAACCAAACTACTGAAGGCCATAATAGAATCAGCAAGCGCAATTAGAGCTGTGACTTTCATTTGCTCGGTGCCATTATTAAGGATCTCAACAAGCTTAGGCATGTGTCGGCTGTTATACTCACTACTAATGGCCATAAGCTTGCCCATGGCCACCAGTCCAACTATCTGTAAGTGTGGGTCTTCTGATTGGAGTGCAACTTCAACTAAATCAATAAACGGATGAAGAGCAGAGTCTTCCCCAAAGATGATTTCATGCTCTTTGGCGAAAAAGACTCGATCGGCCATTTCTTCCTGCTCTTCCGTCGTAATCTTAGTGCTGTTCCGGCGCGAGCCTACACTAAGTCTTCTTTCACGGATTTCCTGATTGGCAAGACTCTCTCGCTTAGTCCGTTTCGGCTCTTCCGGCTTGTTGTGTTTGCCCCGAATGTTCCAGGCGGCTTCAACCCTTTCCAAGTGAACGGCGTGTTTGATGGCAATATGGCCAATTGCAAATACTACCGGGCTAAGTGAACCGGCCTGAGAAAGAGTCGTAAGTATTTCGGCTGCTAAGCCGTCTGGATCCGTGCTAATTAAGTAGGCCGTATCAATCAGACTCTGCAGTAAAGTTAAGGAATGAGGTGCAACTTTAGCCAGCATGGCTTTAAGAGCTACAATAATACGGGAAGTGTTACAAACTCGGTAGTCTAAATTACCAATCAGAATAATCACTTCAGAAAGAAGTTCGGGATCCGTAGCTGTATCTAGCAGGCCAAGAATCTTATCTAAAATAGTTTCAGAAACAGATCGGTCTGTGGTTGTAATCCGACGAAGTAGCTTAAGGTAGGGAAGTGCATTCTTATCTGCTTGGCTACGATCAATCCGGGCAATCAACCGATTAACAACTTCCAGACCTAAAATACCTCGCAGTGTTAATTCTCGAATAAATCCAGTATAAGCCAGAGCGCCATTATCAAACTGCACCATTAAATCAATTAGCTTACTAGGATCGCCATCGGCCATTCTTTTGATTTCCTCTGCCAAAGTATCCGTGGTTGTCTTGCCATCGGCAGATACTCGGTGCCACGAAAGCGTAAATAGATAAGGGAAAGTCTCTAAAGCGCCTTCTATACCGTACGAACTGCATAAGGAAATACATTGAATGATTTCCGTCACTTCACTTTTCGACCCAGTATTAAGCACCTCTTTGATGTAAGTAAGGCCTGTTTGTACGGATTCATAAAACTGGACGCAATCACGATGGTACTCGCCCTCTTGGTCTTGGTACTTCTTGATAATTTCGGGCGAAAGCATACCACCATCCAGGACAAACGGATGGGTCTCCAACGCTGCTTTAAAGAAGACTAAGGCTTTCTTTCTTACTATCTGTGTCTTGTCTTTAATTCGCGCCAAAACATTATCAACTACTTGCTGTCTAATTGTTCTTAGTACTGAGCCGACTTTAACCATTTCAGTTAGTGACTGAATGGCTTTAGCCCGACAGAAAAGACTTACATCCCACAGACGTTCTTGCAAGGCAGTGGTCAGTGCCTGTAACTCCTTTTCGCCTCTTTCCGTTGTTTCGATCTCTTGACGCAAGAACCCCGCCAGAAAGGTCGTGCTTTCAATAACTGCATTACGAATACTTGGGGGCTCAGAGGACAGACCTTGCAAGTAAATACCCAGTAGGTCAAAGACCCATTCAGGCTGCAAAGTTTCAGCTAAGGCCAGTAAAAGAGCCCCTGCGTTCTTTTGAAGTTGCGCGTTCTTACTCTTCTCGCTCTCTATCAAAATGTACTCCAAAGTCTCTTTCATCACAGCAATACCTAGAAAGACCAGTATTTCTGCTAGATAAGCAACTGGCTGTTCAGATAAGAGAAGAACAAGTGAGTGGCTTTGAATGCTTACATTATGTTGCACAGCCTCTTCTAGAATAGTGAATATTTCGTTTTTGACCTCTAGATAGCGTAATTTTGTTCTTTCAAGATAAGCAAACGCACTCTTACACAGCAGATCATAATCAGCCGATGCATCTTGACATAGATCTCGACTAAACTTAAAGAAGGCCAAAGTGGCAGTTCCATTTTCTTTGGTCTCTTTATCACCCAAAAGACTAAAGAACGACCCACCCATTCCCAAAAACAATGTACTATTATCGACATTAGCGAAGATCATTTTAAGAATATCAATTTCCATGGGATGTCCTTGAGCATTCCCAAGCACTATACTGTATTTTTCCGGTTCGGCCGAAAGGGGTTTATCTCGCAAATAGTTCACTAATCGGTCTAATTCACCTTCAGACAAACGAGTGGACATGACGTAGTAAATAAAATAGCAATTTAATCGGAATTTAAGATTAGTTTACACTTAGATGGTCTACTCAACTCACTACCAACCAAATCCTAAGCCAAAGCAACGTCATACTTAAACCTCAAGCCCCCTACCAAACCATCTATCAAAATTAGATACCAAAACCAAAACAAACCCAATACTAAATAGTCATTCCTTTATTTCCCAAGCAAACAGGTATCTATAGATATCCTAACCCAACACCAACCTAACTCAACACTAACCTAACCCAATACCAACCTAACTCAACATCAAGTTCTACTTCTTGTTCTGGCGAGTGCCTGGAACTAGATGGAGAGTAAAAGGCTTGGCTGAATCGCAGTAGAAGAACCCACGCTTCTCAATTTGAATGAAGTCTTTGGGCCGCACAGTTAGTAGACGTTCATCGCATAAGATTGTTCCTTCTTTCTTAGACTCTTCATTAAAGAGTTCGTGCGGTTCTTGGTCTTCGGGTTTCTCAGCAGTGATCAAGTCAAAATACTCAACGGTTTTGGCCTCAACATAAGAATTGGCCGGTACCCAAGTAACTTTGACTTTAACATTCTTAGGAGCAGTGTGGGTTTCCATTGCCACCAACGGATTAGTACTCGTGATTTTAAAAGAACCAACCCCCAATAAGACAAACTCAGAATTGATTTGCAGATGGCCAATGTCCGTTTTGGCCACTAAGATTTCCGTTGGCAGAGTTCGGGGTTCTCGATCTTCAGCTTCAATTGTACGCATGTTTACTCCACTTAAAGTTATCTTAAGCACTGCATCCTTCTCAATACCATGCAGTCTTTTGGCCGTTGGGTCTATTTCCTGGGCGTTTAAAGCCCAAAGCTTATCCCAGGTCTGAAGCACTGTATTCTTAGAAGGACCCTGCATGATAATGAAGTGTTTCAAAGCTTCCTTAGACAATCCTTTGCGTAAAATACCCCGGACAGTCGGCATACGCGGATCATCCCAGCCAGAGACTTTCTCATGCTCCACAAACCAGCGCAACTTCCGCTTACTCAGTACTGTATGTTTGAAGTTCAGCCGTGAGAAGTCCCAAATAACCGGACGATTAGTTAGCTCTAAGGCTGAAATAAACCACATATACTGCGGATTACGATCGCGGTACTCATTAGTACGTAGGGTTAAAGTGACACCTTCAATACTATCCAGAATAGGACAGGCAAAATCATAAGTCGGATAAACTTTGTATTTTGTTCCCGTTCGATGGTGGGGAGTATAATTAGTCCGATAAATAACCGGATCACGCATAGCTTTGTTAAGATTATCAACACTAATTTTAGCTCGTAAACAGTAAGTATCATACTCATTGGAAGATATCATACCTTCAAAAATACGTAAGTTATCTTCAATACTAGAATCTCGCCGGGGAGCAGGAATACCTTTATCCCGGTTACTGCGCATTTCCTCAACGGGAGTATTATCACAGTAGGCCAGGCCTTTACGAATCAAATCTTTGGCTTTCAAAAGCAACATATCAAAATAATCACTACTATGGGTGGTTCGGTACTTAGTAATACCTAATAAACTCAAGTCTTCCATAATGGATTTCTCGTACTCCTCCTTTTCCTTACTGGGATTCGTATCATCCATTCTGATAATTAAAGAGCCATCATATCGATCGGCAAAGTACTGGTTTAAAAGGGCAGCTTTAGCATGGCCAATATGGAGATAGCCACTGGGCTCTGGAGGAAAACGAGTTACAACTTTAAAATCAGCTGGGAGTCCGATATCAAAGGAAGCCTGATCGGTGGCTTTAACTTCTGTCTTCCGGGCCCGATTGTGTTCCTTTAACAGTTCGTCCTCTTCCGTAAGCATAGATGCATAGAAAGCCCCAACATTAGGGAAATTACCTAATTTCTTGGCTTTGTAAAGATTAACAAAAATCATTTCCGTATGTAGTAAAACAAAAATCAAAACTCTTTCCTTTTTAGGTAATGCAAATAAATCTAATTTTTCCAACTGAGGCAAAGTATCTACCAACTCGTTGTAAACCATGCATACCTTCCAAGAAGCTAAAAATGGGAGATCTTTAAGTAGTTCAGCTGCATCGGGAATTTCCTTTAGGAACTCTCCTAGGGATGTAAAGTTGCAAAACCCGCCCGAGTGTTTCTTGTTAGTCGGTTCTATCTGAATGCCTTTCACATACTTAGATAAGGCAAACGGAATAAGATAAGAACGTTGTCCAAAGTTGCATAGAATAGTCACCATAAAAATTAAAATCTGTTTAGGATATATACTATCCCAATACTATCTCAATCTTATCTTAATCTTATCTTCCTACTCATTTTCTACTATCTTAAGATCTTTTTATTGTTCTTCTTCCCTCTTATCTCATCGCTATCTTACTCCTACTTACCTTTACCTATCTCATCTCAATCTCATCTTATCTCAACCCAAACTCAACTCAAACCCAATTCAAACCCAATTCAAACCCAAACTCAATTCAAACTTAACTTAACTGAGATAAGGCCAAATAAGGTAAAATAAAATAAAAGAGATCTTCTGGTATAGTTGTTGATTTCGATTTGACTAGGGCGTATTTGATTTGGTCTATGATAGGATTGGCTGGAGTAGAGATGAGTTGAGTTAGACATGGGGTGGCATTTATTGGCGGGAGTGGATCTTAAAAAATCATGGAACGGGTTAAGAGGTATACTAAAGAAGAGAAGATTGGGGAAGGAACGTATGCTGTGATTTACGGGGGCAAAGAGTATTCAGTTAGTTTAGCTAATGCCAAAGACCCAATCGTGACAGATATGCCCCCTTTGAATGCCGTGCAAGAACGAAAGATTGCGATAAAGAGAATTAAGATAGTCAAAGATCGATCGGGGATAGAAATGTCGGCACTAAGAGAGATTAAACATCTTAAAAGTTTAGTCTCAGACTATATTATTGAAATTCTAGATGTTTTTGAACAAGATAAGCATATTCATATTGTACTGCCTTATATGGAAAGTAACTTAGAAGTAATTGTCCGTAGCAAAAAGCTGGTCTTTATGCCCCAAGATGTTAAGGCTTGGATGCTTATGATTTGTCGTGGACTTTATGAGTGCCATTCACGGTACATTCTTCATCGGGATATTAAACCGAACAATGTGCTAATTAGTCGGACGGGCCAAGTTAAACTAGCGGACTTTGGTCTTGCGACTGAATTTGGGTTTCCTGTTCGTTGTATGACCAACCAAGTCATTACCCGCTGGTATAAAGCCCCTGAACTCCTTCTAGGTAGTACTAACTACTCTTTTGGAATTGATATCTGGGCATTAGGCTGTCTCTTTGCTGAGCTTCTTTTGCGCACGCCGTATCTGCCTGGTGATGATGATGTTCACCAATTAGACCTGACCTTTCGCGCCCTAGGCACACCCTCCGAAGAAACTTGGCCTGAAATCAAAGATCTAGCCGGATATCGCTTAAACTTCCCCAAGTATCCCCCCAATAATCTTTCTGAACTCTTTGGTGCTGCGGGTCCCGATGCTGTTGATCTTCTTACTAAGATGCTTGTCTATAATCCTGCCAAACGCATTTCTATTGAAGACATTCTCGCCCATAACTATTTCAAAAACGCACCCACTCCCACTAAGCCCGGCCAGCTACCTTTTGATGTCCCACCTGGTCAGCAAAAGAACTAACTGTCTACTCCTAACCACTAATCTCACTAATACAATCCCAATCTCATTAATACAATACCAACCCTATTAATACAATACCAACCTATATTAATCTTATTTAAATAGACTACTGTGGTGTCCCGGCGACCTCCACTTTAAATATACTATCTACAGGAACAAGGTTCTTTATTAGTTGTTGAAGTTTCTCCTATCAAAAAGAATGCTAGTATGTTTTGAATTTTGATATCATAATCTCAGAATAAAAACACAATCTAAGTTTACAAGAAACTAAAATAAAAATGAACTGTTCTGATTTTGTGTTTAAGTTGAAGTTGGTTTTTGTTTATTACTAAGCCAGAATGTATTAAAGTTAAAGTTGACTTATAAATGATATCAAAATGAGATAAGAATAAATAAACGATCGGAATTATTAACATTGAGATTGCTTTGTTTATTTAGGAATACGGTTGTTGTTATCTCCTCAAAAGAAGAGATACCAATCATATCCGAGCAAAAAGGGCCAATTCAGATCAAGACTTACATTTCATTAGTAGTGCAGTTAAAACCTGCACTCTTTCCGAAAGAGTAGTGCGTTAGATCTTTCATTTGTTGTTTTGATCAAAAGCAGACTGTTTCTCCATTACTAGCTAGTTCCACAAGTATATGCTGATATTCACGTACCATGGCATTACAGTCCAGTCTATTGGCATTATTCTCAGCAAGCCTGCCTAAATAGGAGAGAAGGCTCTGAGCTAGTTGAACTGCATTCACAATTATGTTTATGGACTGCAAAGCTTCGATGCGTTGGGTTGAGCTTTGTTTCATTGTCCTCACTTCATGAAGCATACAGTTCAATAATCCAGTGAGATGTAACTCGCCACACCCGGGTACACCAGTAGAGTTTAAGAGTGGGCTCGGAATAGTAAGGCAAGATTGAGCTTTCGCAAGTGCTTTTGCATTGAAAGATAACGTTTCAGAGATCATTGCCAATACTAGTTTACACAGAATAACTTCAGTGGTTGGATCTAGACTAATAGCTAGTGCTGAACTACTATCGATGCTTTCTTCTGGCAAAGAAGCAATTGTCTTCTCCGGCCTGTCCAGTCTGTCCAGTCTGTCTAGCTTTCTAGCAATTGTATTGCCATAGTAAAGCAGCAACTCAAAGCGATTCTTAAGCCAATCTCTAGCATACACCACGTGCTCCTTTTCAAAATCTCTATTCGCCTCCGCCCACTCCCGCATATTCACACTAAACACTTCAGTACAATTACTCGAGCCAAGCCATACCTGCTGGTCACTAAGTTTCTTCCAGTTAAATCCAACGATTCGTCCTAAGTGTGCTATTAATGGACAAGCTGATTTGATTTTGAGATGAGTTAGTGGAGGATTGGCGACATTCTTACTTTCAGATATTTCAATTCTCTTGGCTATCAGCCACTCCAGCTCTACATTTATACTTAAGTATCCAACACAGTCTACATACACTTCACTCTTGTCGACTTCTAACCCAATTTCTAACCTAATTCTTTGTAGTCCCAAGGTCAATCGAGGCGTTATGAAGAGTTCCTGCAATGACTCCTTCCAGTGACCAACACGAACATCGAGAGCATAAACGAAGATAACCCCAAACACACAAACCTGTTCTATTCGGGCCTGTGGTGCATACAGCACCAATCGCTGTAATGCATATACACCAGCCGAATTACTTTCACCCCATCCAGGTATGGTTAAGCTAATTGTCTTTACTCGCTCGTCTAGAACTACCAAGCTGACCACTTGAGTATTAGTGTGAGCTATGGCCAAGAGGTGCCTGGCATTCAGTTGATCATTTGAACACATCCTAAGACCAGCCGAAACTAGCCAGTATATCTCTAGGAAATACTTGCGACTCTTGTCAAGCATCCATACAACTAACTCCTGGGTGTAATTTAGTCCTTCTTGATCCTCCCGTGCTGGTAAACAGAGCGGCGAGTCTACCAGCAACAGAAATGGCCTCGCAGTACACACTCGGGCTTTTCGGCAAAGATCCCTCTGTTCGTCTTGGGCTGGGGATGTAGTCTCCAAAGCATCACTCCACTTAATTATCACTCCAGGCCGTTTTAAACCTAGTTGGTCCACAGCCAACTCTAGCTTTAGTCTTTCGCTGACCTTAGTTGCCATAGCCTTCCCGAACTGATCTCTCTTAAGAGACACCCAAACCAAAGAGGACGCGTTAGATTCTACTTTAACAGGACTATCGATCGTGTTCAAATTAGTATCTAACCGGCCTACTGCCAAAGGCTCTATTGTCGCAAGACCATGGGATTTGTCTAGTTCATTAAGCCGGTTACATAGCTCCTTATTACGAAAGTCAATCAGCGCCAGACCAATCAACTCCACACACACTAATACCGATAATATTAAAGCCTTAGCATGCCCCAGCCTATCTTCCATTTCAAAAATCTAAGATAAAGCCTTAAAGTAAGCTCAATCTAGCTAGATAAGATCATTAAATAGTTGTTGATTTATTGTCATATTATGAGTCCATACTCGATATTCCTTACTTTAAGACACTTTTCAAGTCACTACTACCTTTATTACACCTTAATTATATCATAAATTGATATTTTGATTTAGGGTGAAATTTGAACAGGGGGGTCAAAAATAAAAAGACAAATTCCAGGCTCAGGAATTTTGATTTTTTCCTTTTTAGATCGCAATTTTACTCCCAAAACGGAGATTTCCCTTATAAGGAAAATTTCCAAAGTATAAATACAGAGAGAATTTGAGGTCCGTGGCACTGCGAG